GGTGATCGTAGGTATTACCATTCTCGAAATATCGATGTACAAACGCATTTGGTTCAATGGCCAAAATCAAGAGAACGAACAATAAATTGAGAAAAGTATTTGCTCTCTGATGTGTAATAACAATTTTCATAGACTCATCATAAGTTTCAGATTTCTAACTATTTTGGTCTTTGAATTCGGAGTGTTTAATTGAAAATCGAACTTGATCTTTTATACAAAAACGCAAGGTTAAATTTCTGAAAGTAAATGCATTTCCTGGCTAATCATTAAAAGTTACATCGGCAAAATGAGTTTCATTCAAAAACCTGCTTCCAGTATTGTATAAAAAGCAATCGAACTTTTAACTTTTTACTCGATTTTCTCGAAAACTGTACATCGCAGGCAATATTTTTTAGTGCCAATAGACTCAGTTTCTATTTTTCTATAAGTTTCGCTAAGTATCAACTCACAAATCAAAAGTTCGAGTCTTTTACAACAGTCTTTGCATTTCATTTGCAAGTTAAACCAGAAAATTGGTTTAAAAACAAAGAAATGGGTTGAGAAGAGTTTGTTTTGCTAAATAAGTTGTTTCTTGTACAATTACAGCCCAAACATCGCAACTAAAATGCGCTAATGGAGACTTATTGAATTAAATTGAATCAACAATTGGTAAATAGTACTTACTAATTGTTAGAATTAATAGAATCTGACAAAGAGCATTTAAAATAATACAATATTTAATCATATAATAAGTTACAATTTTTGATTGTTTAAATTGCCTTTCTGGCATTCACAATTGTTAGTGGTTTCGACTTTTCGATTTAAATTGTAATATTGATCAAAGTTGAAATAGCTTCCAAGCCTTTTATGGTGTAAATTTGGACTGAAATCGGTCCTTACATTAGTTGATTGTCTGACAAATTGTTCAATTGCCAGTGAACCCGAAGAAAGATTTGTTTTAACAAACAGATTTGATCTGTTAGCCCTGATTTTTGAGTCATCCTGATCCGATGATGACCATAGTTGTGTTTGTGAAGTGGCAAAGATACAAAAAATAATGTTGACGATCAACATGAAAAGTGCACTTGCATAAAAGACAAGATTCCATTGATACACTTTATCGTCCTACGAAAGCAACAAAACAATAAGCAATAGTCATTAAAATATTGTTAATTTCATCAAGACTCACCCCATGATCAAGGAGTACACCAATCAACAATGGAGCCAAAAATCCCATCGAACTTGCAGCGAAATTGGTTATTCCAAAAATAGTTCCCGACAGTTCTGGTGACATTTCAGAAACAATTGGCATGTGGCCTCCACAAACAAAGCCCATGAAGAAACAAGAGACAACCAAAAGGCACATCACAGTATTGGATGTTGGTTCAATTAAGGGAATGATTACCAAGCAAATGCAAGGAATCAACAAGGCTGTAGAGTAAAGGTAAAACAAGAAGCCAGAGTGAAATAAAAAACGAGCAAATCGCAATTCCTAGCTATTTTACTGCCCTTACCTTGAGTTTCAAAGATTTTTCTGGTCACAGTTCGACCGAGAAAACCTTTGTCAATAATATATTTGGCTGATGGTCCTGAAATGAGTTGTGAAAATGCAATGGCAAGATAGAGGAATGAATTGAAAATGCCATTGCGATATAATCCGATACCTAAAACTGATTCAAAGTATGCCGGAATTTTGGTCGTAATTATCATGTAGAATAGTGATTGACCAGTTCGTGATAATACCAAAGACCATAGAGCAGTTGATGTAAAGATTTTTATCCAATGGATTTTAACCTAAAAGGATTTATATCAAACAAATAGTCAATGTAATTATTAGATGAAGACGCTAGCTAACTGTCTTGTTTACCTTGGCCTTTGAGTTTCTTTTTGAATGAGCAAGCAATTGTTTTTCAGCTTCACTGATCCAAGGATGATCAGATGGATCTGTTGTTACCGTTTTTATCCAAATAATGGGTAAAATTAAATTAATTAAACCAATGAAGTAAAATGCCGAAGACCAGCCACCAAGTGTAATTGATTCACACATAATCGCTGTTAAAGGCATAACTAAAGCAATCCCAATGTTACTTCCAGCTTGCATAAGGCATAAAGGTAAAGAGATCTCGTTCAATGGAAACCAATGTTAATAAAGTGCGTAAAGATATGACAACATTGGTGCATGGGATAGACCCAAAAGACCACGAACAATAGCTAAACTAATGATTCCGTTGGATGCTGCATAAGGAGTTAGTAAGGTTAATAGGGAAGCAAGTGTATGAGTACCAACAGCAAGATGAACTGGGTCATATTTATCTGCCAATAAACCAGAAATGATTTGAACCAAAGCATAGCCATAATAATAGGAACCTAAAACGATCCCTTGCTCTTCACCAGACCAAGTAAAGCGCACCTAACAAGGAAACATTATTAACAACACTCAATTATAAAACTTTGACGTTTACCTTGTTATATGGTTCAACTTTCAACTCAGAGGTTATATTATCATTTGTTTGATTCACTGAAAGCACTATTCTATCATCATTATCAACCATTGCGACAATGGCTACACTTAAGTTACACCGAACGGCAAACATGATTGCCGATGAAAGGAAACCAAGGAAAGCGATGTAATAACGGATCGGGAAGAAAGAGTTAGCATTTGTTTTTGATTTTGATGAGTTGATTTCCAAGTTTAAGGATAAATTTGGATGATTTGACATGGTGAACGTAATTTACACTTTGAAGATGAATGCTTGATCAAAAATTAACCCATTGAATCTAATAGACTACAAATGTTGCCTTTGACTTGAAGGAGGTGAATGATTATTGTTATACTGATATAACAAGGATTCACGGATTTGCCTGGAAAAGTCTGAATGTACCTTTGATCGATAAGGGTGATTGAAAATCTAATTTTGAATTTTCTATCCCTTGATTAATCACTAAAGATACAACCTGGAGACGATGTCTTATTGAAAGTGTATTTTAAATCCTAGCAAATACCCTGATTGCTCATTTAATTGTCTCACTAACAATTTAATGACAACATTCTTACAACGGTTTAGAAATGTATTTATGGCAAGACAGATTATAATTGTATCTGTTATTATCGGCTAATATGTTAATGTATTCAGCGAAATGAGACCAAAACAGGAATCAACTTGTAATATTAACATGATGATATTTAGCCTTAAAGTATAAACGAATGAAATTAGAAAACTAAATTAAATATTTAACAGCAAATTGTATTAACTATTCAATCATATCATTTATCATTTTAAGAATTGAAAGAGACGAGCAGTGTTTTGTTTATCAAAGGATGCCTGTCAATTGAAATTATGTTTATTGCTGATTCTTTTGATTTACATTGAAACAATGAAAGAAAACAATTTAACAATTGAAAACCTTGACAAGGAAAAATCACACCAATGTAATATATTAATAATATTGAAATGAACAGAGGGAAAATAATGATAATCAAAAGATTAGAGTTTATTGGAACCATTTTTATCCAAGTAACCAGTTTTATTTATGCGTAGGCTAATAGCTAAAAGATTTACTTCCATTCATCTTCATCATCTTTTCTTCTTTTCCTTTCTTTATATAACCAAGACACCCACCCAGCTACATTTTTTTGTCTTCCTTCTCTCTCCATGTTCAACCGGTCCCACCTTGAAACCATCAGAGCTATTCATTAGCAAAACACAATCGCAATCGGTAAAAAACAATATGTTAATATAAATCGCCTTTTTGGGGTTTATATCTGGTTTCTGGTAAAAACAATTGATCCACTGGATTGGGTGATCATTGAAATTGTTTGTAGACACCCAATTCAATGTAAATTGTTCACATTTAAAAGGTTAAATCCTTGGATGAAACAAAAGTGTAAACATTTTACCCGAATGGTGAAAAAATGGCAAACCATGATGGAAACTTGTCTCAATTCAAAAGTTATGTAAACTGTTCAATTGAAGTAGGTTGAGAAGAGAGGAAGATTATGATGATGAATATGAGGATAGAAAGAAGAAAGAAAGAGAGTGAGAAAAATAATGTTGATGAAAGGATAATTCGTAAAGTCTAATCATCACAATTTAGTTTTGCCACATTCATCCTTTTGTTTTGAAAAGCATCCACATTCATTGACATTAACAACAGCTTGGTCAATGTTTACAAATTGTTAACTTCAACCATTCATTTCAATGGTTACTTCATATTTCTGGTTAACAATTATTCCAAGTTTTATTAAAATATTCGCTTAATTTTCTTCCAATCTGTTTTCCCTGATTTTTGGTTATCGCTGATTTGTTACCAAAGTGTTTTAGCTTTTTACTGGACCAGAATGATTAACTCAATTTAACTCTATGCGTGGGACCAATTTAATGTCCTCCCAAAGTCTACAATCGAAATCAAAGTTCATAGTGATTATCAACCAAGGAACAGGAAAGGTGATGTTAATTTGAACCTTTTCAGTGATCAGATGTCATTATGTTAAACCTTGTGCTATAATTTAATAAATCAACCAGATGAAACAATAAGTGACAATTGAGTTTAGATTTTTGTTTCAATTTTATTCAACTTTAGTCCAATCCAAATTTCAAGTCTTTAATCATGGCTTTTGGGTTTGTTGAAGCTTGTGAAGTTATATACGCTTTCATTTGTGTGCTTGGATTTGTGTTCAACTTTATGGTTATCTATGTAATCTTTTGCTGCATTTCATCCAAAAGTCGTTCCCGGTTAACATCACGGACTATCCTAAGTCTTGCCCTTTGTGACCTTTTAGCCACCTTAAATTTACCATTTTTTATAGCTTCAATGTCCAATGGATGGTCATTTTCATCATCTTTATGTAAACTGTTCACCTTTACACTGATTTTGGAACAATTTGCCAAGACTTTTCTCCTTTCTTTGCTTGGCTTGACTTCAGTGGCTCAATACCGTGGATCCGTTTATAACCTGACAACAGCCAAAATAACCATCCTTTTGGGTTCCATTTGGACGAGCTCTTTTGTTTTGGCTTTAACATTCGCTTCTTTAACCTCTCCTAATCTTAACTGCGACCTCTTCCTATCCTATGATTTTGCTTTCAAGGAAACCTTCACCTTTACTTATACAATTTGTGTCCTCTTTTTACCCATAATGATACTTTCCTTGCTCCTCCATCAATCTCGAAGTGAACCTTTCGAACCAACTGAATCAGTAATTGAGCTCTTTGAACTCACCATTGGCCTTCTTTCAGTTCACATTACACTATCGTTGGGTCATGTTATCGGTACATGGATAACGACCTTTTCCAAGGTTCCACCAGGTATTCCTGAGCCGGCTTGGAAGGTTCAATGGATTATGGTTTCTGGTATTATTTGGTGTTCATTACGCTTTGTATTTCCAATTATTTATACATATTTTTGGACTGAATTTAGGAAAGGATTAATTGCCATCTTCACAGATTCACTAGAGTATCGTCCAATGGCTCGTTATGAAAACTCAAAGGGACCTTTATGAACATTATTAAACCATCTTATTTAATTTATAAATACATATACATAAACACATAAATCTAATAGGTGATCAAATTTTATTTCTCATTTTTCCTTTCCTCTTGCATTGATTATACTCCAGAAATCAAAAATATAATTTTATCAATTAAAAGGTGTCTTTAAAATTTATTGAAACCAAACTTATATTGTTAAATTTCTAACCACAAAATAATTATAAAAATTGCATTTTCTTGAATAGTGACCGGAAATTTTGAGCACAAATCACTAAGCGTAGGTTTTCAGTTAATAGATCCAGTTAGTGTTGAAAGATTTCATTTTACAAATATAAATATAATTGATAATTGAAATCAGGTGCCAGCTGTTCAAATTCGGGATCAAAAATGCAAAATGTAACCAGCTCGAAAGATGTTCGTTGAATTGACTTCGATTAACCAATCTAAAGTAAAATTTACTTTAGAAAGAATAGATTGACTGAATAAAATTTAGATTGATTTAGAGTAGAGTATTACAAAAACATAGATGATAAATGAGCTGATGAGTATATCTAGTGTATACTTTTGATTTGTAAAACTTATCAATTTATAAAATAAAACTAGTGTAAAAGATTTAGTTCAATTTTGTTCGTAATTTTTATGTAAGAAATACTCGATTGAATGCGAAACCTATATAAAAAGACTTTATAAAAATTGTTAAATTAGACCTCGCTGTAAAAATCATCTAATGGGTTGAGAAAAATTCACGAAGTGGCGCAACTTCTCGATTCAACCAAGCCGTATTGACTCGTATCTTTTCAATAGCACGGCTAACAACCTTTTCCAAGCCAGCGAAATGGTTCTTTTCGAAGAAATCGGTTATTTTTTGAGCCATTTCTTCTGAAGCGAAATTTTGACAGAGTTTCTGAAAAAGCAAAGAATAGTATGATTAGGTTTTTGGTGATACACGGATTAACAAGATCAAATCAAATTACCTCAATTAAAACGGATGAACTTCGATGACTACCATATCTTTCTTTAACTTCAGATATGTTTTTCTCGTAAAACTTCCAAGCTGCCAGTCGACCTTTCGCCGTTGAAGCAACAGAGACGATGACTTGCCAAGAATTTTGAGTTCGAACATGTTCCTGATCAAATGAATTAAATTAGTGAGTTTCATAACAGATTCATTGGTATTATTGTTGACTTACAGAGAAGGAAAATTCCAATGTTTGTTGAATCTTTTTGTCATCCAGAGTTGCTCCTAAGGCAGTTGCTATTCTGACCTTTTCCTCTTGTAGTTCAGTTTCATTGTAAAGCTGAAATAAATTCATGAACAAATATTGATTTAACAATGCATTTAGATTATTATTCAAACCTTTTTACCTTGAGAAGTGTTTCATGGAAATCTGAGTCACCAGACTTGACAACTGCAATATAAACAGAGTGTCTGAGATCAGGAGATAAACTTTGGCCATTAACATGTGCTTGAAATTTCTTCTTGGCCTCCGCAATGACATTTTCATCCTTGAAGCTTATTAATCTTGATAGCACAAGAGAACGCATGAGACTTGTAGTGTTTGCTTCACCTGGTTTTTGGTCGAATCCGAGTCTTGCATAAGCTTTTGAGACTAATTTTTTACCGAATTTTTGGAAACTTTCGTATGAATCGGTATACGATATGAGAATATCTAGATGACTCAGGCATTTATCAACACCACACCAAGCAACATAATCGTCTTCATCATCGTAATTTTGCAACATTTTCAATACTTCAGCAACTGACACTATTCCAGCCAAATTTAGAGCTAAAATATCATCAATTAACTGCAATCGGTCTAAAGGTGCTAATGTTTTATTTTTGACAGCTTGACCAAGAGCACTCCACATATCGACTGGATAATTAACTCGATAAAATCCATATAAAGATGGATTAAGTTTGAACCATCCATTTTTCAAAGAAAATGAATCCAAAGTTATGTTCATTGATCGATCGCTAAATAAATCAAATTGTTTAGCTTCTCCAGGTTTACTTGAAGTTACCAGTGAAATAGGAATAGACCATAGCATATTAGATTCAGAGTCAGACATTTTACCGTCAATACAGAATTTTTCTTGCTTCAAGTTAATGACAACTGATGTATCAGATACCGATGATATCGATACCGTTATCAGAGGATAACCCATTTGACATGTCCATGTTGGCATCATCTTTTCAACGGGTTTTTTACTGGCTTTCTCCAAAGCCTTCCAAAGATCACCGGTGGATGCATTTTTATAAGCATGTATTGTCAGATAATCTTTCATCCCATCACGGAAAGCCTGAGTGTAAAAGAAGAGAAAGAAATTAATTAAAGCAATGCCAAAAAATTTAGAAAAGGAAATGAAAATGTCAAGGCAAAAAATAAAATGTAATCATGAAAGTATAATCAACAAACCTGATCACCAATCCAGTTATGACACATTCTAATTACAGAGGCACCTTTATGATATGATATGTGATCAAAAATAGAGTTGATTTCCGCCGGTGCGCCAACTGGTATCTCAATAGGATGACTTTCATGACTTCCGTCAAGCTCTAAAGCTGCGATAGATGATACAGCGGCGAATTGTTTCCAAAATTCAAATTCTGGATGATGAGATTCGACAGCTAAATATTGCATAAAAGTAGCAAAACCTTCATTCAACCACAAATGAGTCCACCATTCCATTGTTACTAAATCACCAAACCATTGATGCGCTGTTTCGTGAGCAATAACTTGAGCTACTGATTGTTTAGCCGAACAGGAAGAATTTTCTGGATCAATCAAAAGAGCTGTTTCACGGTAAGTGACCAAACCCCAGTTTTCCATAGCATTGAATGCAAAATCCGGAACTGAAATGTGGTCTAATTTACTTAATGGATAATTTATTTTGAAATAGTCTTCGAAAAATTCAATGTATGCAACTGCGTCGTCTAGGGCAAAGGTGCCATGACCTTTTTTGCCAAGTGGAGCATAAACTCTGATCTTTGTTCCTCTAGCTGTAGCTGATTCAAGCTCCTCATATTCACCAACAACAAATGCAACCAAATAAGTAGACATTATTGGTGTGGTTTCGAATGAGACAATCTTGAGTTGCTCATTACTAGGGTCAGTTTCCTCCTTAATGATATTAGTATTGGACAGAACCATTCGGTTTTTGGGAGCAATGATGGTTATGTTGAATTTGGCTTTAATAGATGGCTCATCCCAGCAGGGAAAGGCTCTACGAGCATCGGTTGGCTCTGATAAAAAATAATATAAAAATTATTATATTAATATTTCAAAGAAAACAATATGGATAGGCAGTCTGGTTTAGTTTAAATAATTACGCGGGTAAATATAAATAGATAAGGATTATTAATATCTTACCAAATTGTGTTGTTGCTGCGTATTCATCTTTATTAGTTACAGGTGATCGATATTGAGTTCGATAGAAACCAACCATTTTATCATTAAGGATTCCATTGAAGACTAATTTGAGATGCCCTTTGCCTGGTTTAATTGTCTCATTAAATGTCAGGATAGCCCTTTCATCCTTCTCATCATAAGAGATACTACCTTGGATTTCTAAATAAGACAACAAAAGAATCGAATGGAAGAGTTGAAATCTTTAGATGAAAAAAGTGCAGTTTAATAAAAAGAGTTGGTGGTGAAAACAATCAAAAATTAGAATCCTTACCTGAGCCATCATTAATCGAGCTGAAAGAAGCACTGACAATTTCAATTTCAGTAGAATTAAGAACAATGCTGTTAGTGGAAGACACAACTTCGACTTGTACACTCTGAATACCAGCAAACGTAAAATTAACCAAGTCTGGTTTCAAAGTGATATCGTATAAAATGGGTTTGACATTTCCAGGTAGTCGTTGAAAAGGCTTATTTCCTTCACTATGGGCCATTTTCGGGTAATACAAAAGTACACAAAAAAGCAAATGACGTGAGAGAAAAAATAAAAAGTAAACAGATGAGAAAGGATGGAAATAAGAAGCAGAGAAATGAACCAAACACACAAAAAAGAACAGTTAACCACACAAAATCACAGATGATGGCTCCAAGTAAGAGTAGGTAAAAATTCAACAAATCACAAGGATTTAATTCTGAAATACTAATTCTGTTTTAAAGTAGCGAGTTATTGCGAAGAAGCAAGAGACAAATGCATAAATGACATAAGTTGACCGAGACAAAACAGTGTTCAATCGCAAATGCAAGAAAAAAGAAGAATGCCAAAAAAAGAGTGAGAAAGAAAGGGAGTTAAAGAGGGAAAAGAAAAGGAGGCAGAGAAAGAGATGATGATAATGATGATGATGATGATGAAAATTGTGTACCATAAGTTGAAAACAAATTGAAAAAATAAACTCTGATTGCAAGGTATTAAATTGTTGATGATCTTTTGAAGGGAAAGAAGTAGCGATTGAAGCAAAAAAGCAGACAAAGAAACTAACAGGTCATTAAAAAAAGAGACATTAATAGGAGCCAGGTTTTCAATTATTGGTAATTATAATAATTATCGGTGAAAAAGATGATGATTAACAAAAAACATTGGATCTCTGACCTGATTAGTCTGCAATGATGATGAAAAATAATAATCTAAGTTGTAAAGTTTAATAGATTTGATAGTAATAATAAAACCATCAACATGTTATTATCATTATTACCATCGTTAGTTTCATTTTTCTGACTTGGCCAAATAACTCTTTGTCTCATTTTGATGGTATTATGATTAAGAGGGAAATTTTAGTTTATCTTTCAAATGATATTCATCACACATGTTTTTCATGTAAATTTCATTTTCATATGATGAATGATACATTTTAAGGGTGCTTTGAAACCTAATTTTTAAGGTCAATCAGATAACAGAAAAATAATTTCAGGGAAAATCCATCTCAGAATTGCCTAGATGTTACTTTTACTGCTTAACTTTTATCGCAGGGATGAAATTTTTTGAAATAATTTCAAATTGTTACCATCACTAAAACAACATCACCCTTATCTTTTAATCATTAAACTAGAGATGGTTGAATGATATTTAATTATTACAGGATAGCATTACAACATTAAGATGAAATAATAAACATTTGTAATTGAAAAATGATATTAGATTGAGCAGATCGAACATGATATTTCAAAATGTATTTCACTAGAAAAGGTGTAATCGATTCTTTAAAATGAATTAGATAGCAATGTACATTTAATTATTAAAATTTAATAAAATCGATAGTTTTTTAACGATAGAAAACAAATTATCACAGATAACAGGATTTTTTTTTGTATAAAATATTAATAAATAATAAATCAGATTATGTTAGGTTAGTTGGTAAACATTGCGATGAGATTCCATTTACGAGATTCATTATTATTACAAATTGTCATGATTATGGGTTGGTCGACAGTTGCTTTGTGAACACCAAGACAGGAACCAACAGCAATATTATAAAACGGAGTATTATCCTGTTAAGGTAAAAATAGAGGATAAATTTAGATTGTTGTTAAAAATTTCTTAAGATGAAAGATGATAACCTTTGAAGAGTGATGCCATTCCTGTGTTTCGCCATGTTCATGGCATTTGGCCAAAAACGTGGTATCTCCATCAGTATCAAGACACAATCTGTTTGCCAGTCGAAGCTCTTTCTTTTCACTTTCATACCAAATCTGGTGATAAAAAAATAAAATCATAAAATATTATCAGCAGGTACAGCCATTATTATCAACGAAAAAACACTGGTTAAACAAAAAAAGTAAACAGTATAACTACCTGTCTTTTACTTTCTTGACATTTTCTCAATATGAGCCGAGTTTTCTTTACAGTAACAGCCTTTTCAGACTCAATGCACAAATCGGAACCAGATAGACTGATTTGGTAAATTCCCTTAATTTTAGACGTTCGTCGGACTAGATTGTAGACACCTTTCAAATGACTGTACTTTTTTTCCAGGTTTTCTAATTTCTTTTTACTTTTATCCTCCTTTTTATCTTGCTCTGGAAGCTTTAATTCAGGATAAATGTTTTTCAGGTACCATTCAAAGGATTTACAATGTAATTTTTCCCGTAATGAGATTCGGTCGGTAATATTTCCATAATCGATTTCTTTTGCATTTTTGTTCAATTCATAGTAATATTTCTAAATAATGAACAAGTGGGAAAATTATTATGAATGTAAGTAATATTAATATATTAACAATGATGGTATATCGTATATTAATAATGAGGGTAAATACCTTATAATCATCCATCCAAACATTACTCGAAGAGAGTTTTTGGTTAAGGTATCTTCCCCAGTTGGTGAGCCATAAGGCCTACGTTGCCTGAAAACATGTCCCACTCTCGAGCAGGGTATTATTTCAATGGACCCACCACACATCCAGACCTGTGCATAGTTCAAAAAATTAGATGATTATTGATTGATATGCTCTTAATTACTATTGATTGATTTGTTGAACTTACCCTGAATGATATTTCAAGATTTTCTCCTCCCCAAATATCCATTCCAGGATCATATTCACCAAGCTCTTTGAAATATTGTCGATCCATTGCAAATAGTCCTCCGGCCATAGTTGGTGTGCTAATGATATAAAGAGACGATAAAAAATAAAATTAATTATAATAATAAAAGTAAGAACAACTCTACTTACGGAATAGGTTTTACATAATCTTCACTATCTTTCAGTAAATTTCTAGGAATCGAGTCCCATCTAAAGTGTAATCCCCAATTAAAACCACCTCGGACCAATGGTGATGCTGTGTATTCAAAAGTGTGATGACTTATTACATCGATAATTGGGACTGCAACGACTTTTCTGTCCTCGTAAATTCTTTGCACCAAAGGTCTGAGCCAGTCTACGTTGACTTCAATATGACTATCGAGAAAAACCAAAATATCACCTGATGCATATTTGGATCCATATATCCTCGCTCGGATTAAGCCTGAAGTAGAATTAAATTGAAAGCAAATTGAAAACACAATTTATATTAAGTTTGTAAACATTCAAACATGCAAACATAAGAAAAAGTGAGTTACCAGCTCTCTCCGGCGTTCTTAAAAATTTAAATAAGTTTCCATGTGATGCAAATTTTTTCTCGAGTTTCTCGATGAATTTTTCATCATCACTAAAATCGTCTACCAGAATGATTTCCTGGATTAGCTCTGATTGAGTGCGTTGCAAAACACTTGCCACGCTCCGCACGAGTGCTGAATAAGCCTCATTGAAGAAACAAAAAATAACTGAGCTGCGTGGAAGACCTGTCTGATAAGTCTGATTTGCACAAAGTTGGTGACGAGTATCAGGAATGTCACGAAATTCGCCGATTTTATCGCTGATTAAAGAATTGAATGCATATTTTTTAAGCCCCTCTTTCTTCAATTCACGATCAGCTTCACTATTTAAAATATCTGAAAAGGTAAAAAAATTGATGGAATTAATCTTCAAAAATTCAATGAATTGAATTTCATAGGAAACTTACGTAATTTCAAGAAGTTCGTTTCATTCACAGATAAATCCATTGACATGAACGATTGAGTAGCCACTTTTGGAATAACTTTTTTGGGAACTACATCATCTATTGGATCATCGTTGATCAAATTTGATCTCCTCTCCAGATCCGCTTTGATGGACTCATTTCCTTCATTAATCACAGTTTTTCTTGGTGTTCTTGGCGATGTTTGAATGATTGGTGAATGACGTTCTAGTCGGATTGGCGGTGAAATATAAAGAAAAATAAGTAAAGCAAAGGAGGTTACACTCAGGATTCCAATGAAGAATCCTCTTATTGTGATTAAGGCCATATCATGATATATAATGAGATTCAGGTAAATACAGACAAATTAAAATAAATTATTTGATATTGACAAATGGACTCAACAGCTGATCAAATAGAATCAGCCAACTCAGGTGACCCAACTGTTTATCGACTATAAGAAAAGACCGGTAGATGGCAGTGAATCGATCAAACTTAATTTTTATGCTAATTTCATCATTAAATTTGCATCATTTGCAATCATTGTCGGATAATTGTGTCTTTCTTGTTAATGATTACGGTAAATTTATGACAAATGGACATAAGGATAATTAACTTAAATCAAATTTGATGCTAATTTGTTCTGCTTTGAGTCGATGAACCAAAAAAATAATATTATTCAAACAAATGTAATAATAACCATTAGTCTATCATAAACATTGATTTTCGATTAAAAATTGGTAATTGCCTCAATTATCAATTTCGTGATGATCTCAATTGAATCATGAATTGTTCAGCTTAAAAATTTCACAAAAATCATTCCTAAATCAGGCGTTACGAGCCTGTTGTGTCTACTTATCTGCAACATTCTAGTGACCAGAAAAATTAGTGATATTACTCTTGATGCTCAATGGATTTGAAACATTTATTATAAAATAATTGGCTCAATTAAAAACATTAAAAGTGAAATCAAAATAAATTTAAATCTTGAAATTGCAATTTATAAGTGAAATTGATGGTAGCGACCCTTACGGAAGTCTGCTGGAACTAAGCATTTTGTGATTGCTCTTCTTCATCAGTTTTGTATGCCTTTAACAATCATCCTCTGATCAAGTGGTCAATAGAATCAGCATTTAATAAATTTATTGATGTAATGGTTGCCTCTGATTCAATTCGAGATGACCACTTAGATGAGCTACCAGATAAACATGTTGCTAGAGATTTTTATGCCAAGTACGATCCCAAAGAGGTTCTCGGAAGGTAAATATTGCTTTGTAACATTTATATGTCAAGCCTAATCTACATTTTTAATTGTCCTTTCTGTGTACTTTTTTTTATTTTTTATTTATCTATAGAGGAGTTAGCAGTACTGTACGACGATGCGTTGAGAAAGAAACTGGAAGAGAATACGCTGCAAAGATAATTGATGTCAGTGCGGATTTAGAGGACCCTCAAGGATTAACACTTAGACAGGCTACATTAAGAGAAATATCTATCCTTAAATTAGTTGCTGGCCATCCTTATATAAGTAAGTTGATTGCTAATACTATTGATGACCAAAATAAGTTAAATATCACCTACTAAGCGTTTTTATTTTTTCCTCAGTTGAACTCCACGACGTTTTCGAATCATCAACATATATTTTCTTAGTGTTTGAATTGTAAGTTTGTTTTAACTAAATTACTATCCCGCAATTTTTGAATTAATTTTGCTAAATTTTTGTTTCTCCTACTGTGCAGATGTAAAAATGGTGAACTCTTTGATTACTTGACCAATGTTGTAGCCTTATCTGAGAAAAAAACTAAAACCATAATGAGACAACTTCTGGAAGCTGTTGAACATATACACAACAAGAACGTAGTGCATCGTGATTTAAAGGTTAGCTAAGTCATTTTTATATCCCAATGAATTTCTATTTCTCTATGTTAAGTGATGTAATTTTAATTTATGTGTCTTGAATTTTATTCCAATCTCATCAACCCCTAAATAGCCTGAAAACATCCTCCTGGACGACAGTTTTAACATCAAAATAACTGATTTTGGTTTCGCTAAAGTGATAGCTCCCAACGAAAAGCTCGATGGTAAGCTGATTTTTTTAAAATCCCAACTCTTTATGTTGGTGAATGTGTATATATTATTCCAACGGAGTGTTTAATTTATCTTTTTGCACAAATTCTAGATCTCTGTGGAACTCCTGGCTATCTTGCACCAGAACTTCTTCGTGCCACTATGTATGAAAATGTTGAAGGTTATGGTAAAGAAGTTGATTTATGGGCCTGTGGAGTTATCATGTACACTCTTTTGGTTGGATTTCCACCTTTTTGGCATAGGAAACAAATGATTATGCTACGAAATATAATGGAAGGTCGATATGAGTTCTGCAGTCCAGAATGGGATGATATTACTGATTTACCTAAGCATCTTGTGAGTATCTATACAATCATATGTATTGTTCGTGATTCTCCGATCATCTTAGCTACTCAAGTTTTATTCATAGACAAGTCAACGTTTTCATATCTCACTTACCTCTTCTCTTAAGCATTACCCATTAGCATAAAAATTGTGTTGATATAATCGTGATGTAAGTTGATTCTAAGTGCTATCATTTTTTAGGTTGAGCAAGTAAATGATCCAATCATATTAATTTCTTTCCTTGACTTTTATTTTCTAACATTTCTTTTGCTTGCAAGTTTTTACATTGGTTGGAAAAACAAAATCAGGTTCAATCCTTTTGTATATTTACCAAGTTAAAGGTTAATTGAGTTAAATTGCATGCTAGACTTGTTTATTCAGTTTCAACTTACTTGTCACTATTACACAACGACTATTAATTTTTTATTCTTAACATCTTCCGTATAGAATTCATTTTATCAGATGTTCATAATTAATCAATGACTTTTATCTTTTACCCGACTTTCACTCTCTTTATCAACTCACCATAGCTCAGGCTAATCAATTTTATCAATATTTACTGTTTCTATATTTATTTTTAAATCTTCTGTCATCACAATACCTGATTGATCATGCCCTAGTAATGGAATAAACATTCGTCAAAACTTAGTCAAATGATTACTATTAATATAACTCTATCACCTTCAGATTTCCTTTTTCACACTTTGTCATCATTGATCATGAATTTTCAATACTGAACTCATATTTTATTTACCTTTATCTTGCAGATTAAGAATCTTTTACAAATTAATCCTCGATTAAGGCTAACTGCCTCTCAAGCATTAAAGCATGACTTTTTTCAACATATGGTTAGTATTAATTTAATCAAAAACTTTCTCCTCAAAGTAAACTTGACATAACCTTTTATCTTTTTTACAGCAATTGAGAGTTGGACCTTTTGACGCACGTAAAACTTTTCAACTAGTTATGCTTGTTGTTCGAGCCATGATAAGAATCAAACGATTGAAACATACTCCAGAACCTATGAGCATCGAAATCGCCCGCTTTGATCCTTATAGGATCAAAACTCTGAGGAAAGTATGTATTAAATTCAATTGCAATTTGAACTTTTCTGGTTTTTTTCTAATCAATATTCTTTTTCATTTCAGGCTATCGATGGCTGTGCCTTTCGTGTTTATAATCATTGGGTTAAGCGTGGTGAAGTGCAAAATCGAGCTGCTCTTTTTGAAAATAGACCTAAACAAGATTTGAAAGCATCTTATCAACAATCATTTCAAGCCAAAGCTTAGTTAACTTTAACTTCGTCTCGTCAACCCTTTGACTTTCTTTTTCCATCGTCTTCACCATTTTTTTCCTCTCTCTCTTTTTTCACCTTCAACTTAATTTACTCTTAAATTTGTAAATAAATAATATTTAGGAAAAAGAGTAAGAGGAGGACCTTTCAAACAACGATTTAACTTATTGATTTCATTCAGTCAACACCAATCACTTTTTTGCTCACATTTCTTCTACACTTTCAATATCTTTGATGTATCACTGTGAGACCATTAAAGAGTATTACATGAAAATCACAAATATTAGAAGAAAAAATTTTTGAAATCTTGAAAGGTATTGTGAGTCGAATGTCTTTATACTGTGTTATTTATTACAAGTATCTGAAAAAGTTTTGCTTATCACGAGGAATTCTGGGTTTAAGGGTCTCACGAAAAATGACCTCCACCAATTTTAAAGGTACATGTTTTTATGATAAAAGACATCAAGAATCTATGTTAGATCTCACCAAAAGTACCGTAAAGGGTCACGTTTGTTCCAATCGCACTCTAAAGCACCCGGTTCTATAGCCGTTAGGTCACGTATCTTCAAACGGACAGTAGTATGCACAGTAGTTTGCCTGTTACACGAGTGACCTTATATTTTTCGACAAGCTCTAGCTCCTAAATGAATCAACATATTCACAACTTTCATTAAAAGCCTTAAAATCGAATGTTCTTTTTTGTTGACAAAAGATTGGATTCATTCGAAGTCACAGAAAAAAGTTTACATTTTTTGAGCTAGCAAGATCAACTTTTTTTCTGTGCAAGTAATTAGCTTTATTATTATTAATTTTCATTAGGTAAGTCTTGATGCCCGTTATGTTTTCAATGTCACATAAAAATACCACCGGTAAATCATAGCCACATTGCTTAAGTTTCCTGGACTCTGCTTGTTTTTCTTTTGGCCGAAACCTTAAAAATCATCTATTTTCATTGATAAATCATCAGGTTTTTTGATATCCATAGACAAAAGTATTTTTTATTTTTATTTCGAGGCCTGCCAAACATGGAATAGGTTAATTTCGATAACCTGTTTAATAACAAACTTGCACATGAAGCACTTTGCTAAAAAATAATTCTGGAAATGAGCCAAAAAAATCAATTCTTCATATCGAGCATCGGGACTTACCATAGCATTGATAACTCACAGGTTACAAATGTGCTTGTAAGTTCCTAATAAATTATTAGTAATAATTTACTCACAATTGTCAATAATATTGTTAAAGATGATATCGATAGTATCGATTCGATTGATTAAAAAAAATTATTTTACGCAGAAATATTAGCTCTAAACGCTTTAAACGTGAATTCAATTATTACATGTGTATATTAGGCCCTAACGCGTAAAAAACCTATTATGATAACTTTTTTGTTGTTTTAGATTCAATCTTTACTGCAAGTTTCTACAACACCTAACCGATATCAACAACTGGACAAATAGCCAATAATTTTCCAATTATCATGATTCTTGTGCTATACAATCCATTGTTAGCCGGTACTTTGATCACTTTGTTTGCTTTTGTTCAGGTGTTACTATTTACATTGATACAATTTATTTTTTTTTCCTCAATCGTTCTCTAATAAATAACAAGAATGTATCTTATTCATTAAGTTGGAGAAAGTTGGGTGCACCTTTTGTTTTTTTTTCAGAGCTAATCAGGTTACATTACATTATACGCTTCAATTAAAGCCACAATGAAATGAGAAACTACTTAATGCTTCACTGAATTATGCTTAATTAGAGCTATCATTCTGATATCATGTCCAGTCACTGACGGAAATTTTGGTATTATACGGAATGTAATTGTAAAACTATAACCATTCATTTCAAATATAGAAAACAGAAGATCAAATTTTCATGTGTTCATTTCCATTGTTTCATTGTTAATACTGATAATAGTTATTAATGATATCAATCATTTATGTGTAAACAATTGCATTTGATTATAAGAATGCATCATGGATAGGAAATAGAATGGAAACTTTGAGTATTGAAGGTTATTAATAAAAATATTAATATTTGAATTTCGCGCCTTCGGAAATTCAAACAGTTGACGGACAACTTCAGGTACTCAACTGAACTCTGCAACTGATTAATTTTTTTTAATAATCTTAATGTTTGCTTTTAACTCTGTCTTTTCGATTGTCTTGCAATTAACCCCATAATCCTGTGTATTTTTTAATCGAATTATTAGCTTTTAAATTTTTTACAGAAAGTCAACGTTGAAAGTGGTCTACCCCCTTTTGCTATTTCAAACTGAGTTGCCTTTTATTTATGTGCCACAATTTGTTGTATTTTTTTCTCTCTTTTGTTTATTATTATTTGTGTTCTCACCATTATATTTTTCCACCAAGGACAAAACATTTGTTTAAAGTAAAGCAAACAACCAATCTATAATTTTATGTCATCCGCATAAATAATTTCTCCATTTTACAATACCGAAGTAGTTTGGATTCTACCAAGTTGACAAGTTGACCGCTTTCGTAGACTTGCTAAAGGTGCTTCCAAAACAAAAGGTAGATAAGATTGAGCTGAAATTCACCCAAATTGACTATTGGATTGCAAGTTACTGCTGTATTACCCATGTTCCTGTAAAAGTCTGAAGGATCGATAATTTGATGTTATATTTTCAACTGAGTCTTCTCCCTGTATCCTGACTTCGCCATTTTCCCTCATTTTCCCTCGATCAATATGATGTAAAGGATATCACCCCCCAGTAGCAAAAATAGACACTTTTATGTGTGTTGTGTATAAAAGAAGCGCCAACTGAGTGTGCACAGTATTATTATTGTTAATAAACCATGCAAAGTGGGATAAACCGACGTACCATTCCTGTCTCAACATCATCATTATCATCATCAACAGTATCAACAGCATCTTCATCCTCAACGACTTTTAGCAATGCTTTCCGATCTCGGCCTTCAACCCTGATCCCTCCTCCTTCAAACAAGGTTAACCTAAAGACTGGTGATAACCTGAAAATGGTCGGAACAGTTAAGACATCAACCATTCGTCGCCCATCTTCTCGCGAAACTATTGGTATTTGTGTAAATAATAGAATCACTAATGGAACTTCAACAGCAGCAGCAAACAATAATGGTTTGAGTCGTTTCTCAACATCTACCAAAGAAGCAAGTCGTTTGGGGAAAGTTGACTCCACTCCAGCTCCGACAAGGACCTCTAAGCCTTCATTTCAAATGCATTACATTCCACCAACAGCTAAAAGATTGACCAGTGGTACTACCAAGGACCCTGTACCTAAAACTGAATCAAGATTGAATGTTAAAAGAAATGAAATTAACAGTTCCACTCGTAAATGTGTCACTCCACATAACAATGGTTTATCTACTTTGAATGGCAAAAATTCTGTTAATCTTAATGCCATTAAAAAGCCCTTTGCTGGAACGGCTTCTGCTCGTGCTGCAACTACCCTTATTTCATTGCAGAAAGAATGTGACAAATATAAGAGACTTTCTGAATTGTATAAACGTCAATTGGAAGCTTCCAAAGGTGATATTTCTAAATCAGTGTTGGTTGTTGATGGGTTATCTGTTGTTGTTAAATATCTTACTGAGCATCTAAATGCATTTTCTACTCCATCGCTAAAATCAACAATTGAACAGCAAGCATTAAATTATAAAAAGTTGAATGATGATTATGGTAAACTAGAAAGCCTTTTGGACCAGTTGAGGCAAGAAAATACAAGAAAAGAAGATGATCTGCGGGATGAAATTATTCGCATGAGTTTGGAAATGGTTAATGAAAAGAAACGTCACGACAATGAGAAGAATCGCCTTTTTGATATGTTTGAGGATCAGATGAAAGCACAGAAAAAGGCTTTTAAAAAGGAGATGGAAAAAATAGAGGAAGATAAGATGAACCTGGAAAAGGTTATTGACTCATTAAAAGATGAAATAAAGGAAAAACTGCTACAAATTGAAGGTTTGACCAATCGGGTGGGTGAATTAGAGTCAAGTTTATCCATGGAGAAAGATCGTCGTTGTCGTATGCTTCAAGAAAAGGTTAAATTTATGGCTAATGAAATTCAATCATTGAAAGATGTTCTTGATCTCAAGGATGGTGAGCTAAGAACAATAAAAACTTCCATAGCCAATGAAGAATTACTTCGCCAAGATTTGGCAGCTGCTCAACAAACTATAAACAATCTAACGCAACGTTTAGAGCAACTGGAAATTTCAGCAAACCAAAAGAATGCTATGATTAATATGCTCAAAGAAGAAAATGAATCTTTAAGAGAGAGATTTAACAAGGAACAAAGAGAAAGACGTCGAATCTCAATGAAAAATGAAGAACTTGAATACACATTATCTGAATTTACAACGCCTGTTAAAGGTAACTCTAGTTCAATGGATGAAGATGTTTTTTTAACACCAATGCAACCTCCACCAAGATCACGGCTTACATTAACCAATGGCCTGCCATTACGTCCACATTCATCGGATTCTGTCCGAAAACAGAAAACATAGTTTTTAATTTAGAATATAAACAAATTACTGAAGCATTCTTAATCCCGTTTCGAACCACACTACACTTCATTTTCGAGATTAAAACAAATTAAACAGTAAAAGCTCAGGTTATGGGACTCTCTCGAAATAGCTGGTCTTTACTATTCATCGGGCAGCTCAATTTTTCAATCTTCAATCTCACCTAAAATCAGAGATTAACTTAAATATTTATTCAAAATAACTTTTAGTTATTTGATAAATATTTTATGAACAGAAATCTGTTTAATTATCTCAATAGTTCTTTAAATTTAATTCGCTTTTGACACCCGTCTGCACTGGGATGTCTGCGAATCGAGTCCCATTATCTCAACTTTTACTGTATTTTTAATAATTAAAAAGTGTCTTTCAAATCACATTGTTAATTTTATTGTCACTAAATAATTGGATAAATTGTATATGCTTAAATTGTGACCATTTGAGTCCAAATCACTGAGCGTAGACTCTCAGTTAATTTCAAATTTAAAGTTAAACCATTTTTAAATATAAATATAATTAGAAATTGAAATACGATAAAAAAGCTGCTATTGTAAATTGGAAAAAGCAACTCTTTGATTTTTATTCGTTGGTTTATTTTATTTCAATTTGGTTTAAACAATTTACCTTAAACAAGTGACAAGTTGATTGTAAAATTTAAGATTGAATTGTTCTCAATCATCAGATTTTTAAATTAAGACTTCAAATGAATCAAGTTCCAACGTTTTGAATAAATTTTGAATCATTTTACTTCCAAAGTTTACTTATTTGCCAAATGTGGCTCAAAGGAAAAATACACAAAACAAGAATCTGTTCCATGTTTTTCATTGATCACCAATAATGCATCTTGTATCTGAAAGTCTCATGTGGTCATCACAAGATCATTCAACAATATGAATCAACCACTTAATTGAATTAAATCTACAACTGGTTCGCTCTTAACTTTTTTTATTCAGTTATTAAATGTTGATCGAAGAAAAGGTTTGTCAAAAAAAATCTGTTACAATAGCTATGTTACAATGCCTGAATCTATTTTCGGGTTATCCTAAAAGAGTGACCTGATTCAACATAAACTGATTGAAAATAGATTCAAAACTGACCGTTAATCAGGTTTGTGATTTATTTATTTTCAGCATCTTCTTCATATTGGAGATGATTTAAGGAAAAGACATCTATTTTAAGGCCATTCAGGAAGAGCATTTCATTTTCAAATACTCTTTCTTATTTGTCCTCTTCAACTGATTAATATTTTGCTTAAACATTTGCTAGTTTAAACAATTTCTATTGTTATTGTATTCCTTTCGATAACTATTATTTATTAAAGCGGCAAAGATGAAGTCCACTACAGCAACCTTGTCTATAGCAACGGCAACATTCACGATCTTATCTTTTTCGTTTTTTCGTGTTACTCTTCCTGAATGGCCTGAAAATAGATTCAAGAATTGACCGTTTATCCGGTTTGAGATTTATTTATTTATTTCATCATCTTCATCATCATTATCATCATGAAGATTAAGATGAACATGGTGTAAGGAAGGAGAGTCTATTTTCAGGCCATTCAGGAAGACCATTTCATCTTCAAACTTCACAATTTTGTTTTCTTTTAATTTTTCTCCAACAACTGATTAATAAATTATGTTGAAGGTACAATTTTTTGCCATTTCTTTGATTATTAGGGTAATTTTGATTCAATTTGAACAAAATAATTCTTCAGTGATTCAAGTCTATTTTCAAATACTCATCAAAGCCTTTATTTGTAGGACATTACAATGGACGGTAAATCACGAGTCAGTAACTGTCATCAATTTTTCAAATCAATTTGGTTAAAAGCCATTATGACAGTTGACCAGCGATTATGTTGCTTGAAATTTAAATTGTTGAAGTAGATATCTTTTTGTTTTATTGTAATGATAATCACTCTTTTTGAAGCACCTTTTTCGTGGTTTCAAATTAATCCGGAAAAAATGTAAATGAGTTATTGAGCCTGAGTATTGAGATGAATGAAATCTCCTCGAATGAAAGTAGAATAGATAAAGGTGGAATAAATAATATTTACATTTTTTTAATTTAATTTTTAATGTACATTTGCGAGACTAGAAAAAAACGTAACTCGTTAAACGGCTTATAATAAATTGAGTTTATTGAGTAAATTAGGTTGTATTAAAATTAATGTCCGTTTTACTCAATGAATTTTTAGCTTGATTGCCGTATCCATCAAAGAGTTCCGTATTTTCAGTTATCGGCATACCAATCGAAAAGTGACTGCGAACTCGGCTTCTTTTACAATCTTCAATATTAATAACTCGATTGAAACAATTTAGAGATTAATTGGATCCAAACAAACATGGAAACAAAGTAATAATTATTTCACTAGATTTGAAACAAATATCAAGGTCTCGATAAAATGGTTTGGTCAGCTTGGACACCGAAATCAATCTGATCCAAGTCATAAAAAAAGATTAACGACAATTTACACTCAATCTTATCTTGTGCTATTGTCTCAAGCTGATGAAATTAAGATTCATTGATCGATATGGCTGAAGCTTACCAATATTTCAAGTTAGATTCAACACCAGAAATTTATTGGAAATAGTTGCCAAGTCTTCGTTATTCATGGTTTTAATCATAGCATACAGTGTCGAGTAATATAATCTCATTGAAATGTATTGAAGACACATTCAAGACTCTCAGAGATTGATAACAATAATAGGATGGAATTGAACTTTCAACAATCAATTGCGATACTTAAAAATGTATGAGAACTAGTTTGATGATTATTGCGAGACATCCACTCATGAAATATCATAAGAAAAACCAATTTGATCGACAGAACTTTGTCTCATCTTGAGTGAATAAAATTGAGCTTATTTGTTATCCAATTCAACCCATCCATACGTTGATAGGAAATATTTTTACATTTCTCGTTTTGTTTTGTTTTTTTATTTGTCAATGAAAGGGATGACCTTGTTGACCTAAATGAAGGTCTGGAAGGAGATGATTTAATTTTATCCTCAAATATTTGAATAGAAGAAAAAGGTTGACCAATGTCTTCGACTCATCATTAACCTTTCTTAGTCTGGGTTAACCTTTTGTGTGACTCTTTGAGACTCTTCTTTATGAGCTACAATCACTGAACAACCAACTGTAATGAATACATCAATTGGACATTATAAGATGTAACATTAGATATCAAAAGTGATTTTTCAGATCCAATTGGATAGATTATTGGTATTTAAATGAGTTCGTAAAACAGATTAACCGTTAACAAAACTGAATAATGATATTTGTAAAGTAATTATGATTCTCTGTTTAAATTGATGGCGCTTTGATTCTCTCCGTCTCTGAATATTTTCACAGCCATTTGAACATCAGCAGAAATTTGACTCTTGATGAAATGATTAGCTATAATTGGTAATTTATAATAAGGAAATGTTGAATGTTGATTACCATAATCTTGACATGAGTTGAGCGGTAAAATGAATACATTGATTTAGACTATTTGTTTCATTGTTACAATTTCAAAGTTAATACAAAAAGTGTTTTCTTTTGCATTAAACCCTCAATTGTTCACTATGGTTCCATGTCATCTCACCAAAAATAAGCCTTTAAAACAACAATTTTAGTTTACAAACTTTGGTTTTCAACCCAAAGACAGCTTATCTTTGCAAATTTTACTTAATTGTTAAATGTTTCTTGTGAATAGAGAAAGATATTAATTCAAATAAATTTCACCATTTAGATACGTATTTGTATAAAATTGATAATCATCATTCAGCTTTAAATATCGGAGCTTTCAGCGATGCAGTTTTATTTATTTTTTACCTTTAACGGTCAACTCTCTTTGACAATTTAATGTCTTTGATTAGGTGTAGCTATGGAATTGAGTCCTATTGAATTTATCATAAGTTTCTCTTGAAAAATTTATTAATGAATTGAGTTGAGTCTAATTGAGTCTATTCATGCCAACAAAAATGAACACTTTCCCGTGAACTCTCATAGCTTATAACGCAGTTTACTTAAAGGCTTATTTTTGGTGAGATGACTCGTCACCGTTCACTATACAGTTAATGTTTCGATTAATGGTTGTGGGAACAATTTGTTACAGACCAAGGTAAAGGTTGACCGTTCAACCGTTGAGTTGATTGGGAAGAAAATAGCGGATAATGGACAATGAAAAGAAATTGTTTTAATTTAATTCTGTTTGCTGACTGCAGAACAAATTGTTTTATTTTAAATAGAGGAAAGAAAAAGGGTTGAAAATTGAAATTCTAGAAGAAGTAGAAGAATAAAGATTCAGGTAAAGTACAGAAAGAGGTACAGGATGGATTGAAAAAAGTTTACTGATTAAAAATAGAGAAAAAGATATTTAGAGGAAATTTAAAATACAATAATTATTTTATATTTGAATCATTACACTGAGCAATCCTTTGGGAAATCCGTTTACGAGAAACCGAGTCGTAATTAACTTTGGCTAGATTCAATTGATCATTATTTAAAGTACACTTAGTTGATGAAGAGAAGCACGACAATGATGATGATGAATTTAAAGATGTAGATGATGTTAAAGGTGATGATGATGATGATTTAGATGATTCGACAGAATAAGTTCTCTTGAAGAATGAGTAAAACATACAGAAGAAGAGGAATGCGTTGAAAATTGATAAGTAAATGAACATTTTAGGCCAAGCGCAACCAGGCGATAGCATTGAATAAAATGAGTGAACGATAACGGCAACAAATTGGATCATTTGCATTGAAGTGATATACTTTTTCCACCACAGGTAAGGTGCAAGGTGGGGAAAGGTGGAGAGAGCATAATAGGCATACATGACAGTGTGGACACCAGAGTTTAACCAAGGGAAGAAGGCATTGTTACCACCGGGGGTAAACTTTAAGCCAATCCAGCAAAAGAGTGGCATACATGAGTGATGGAAAACGTGGAGACCAGAGATTTGACGGTTCTTTTTACGAAGTACAAAGAAAAAGGTATCACAAAAGTCAATCGTTTTAGTCACATAAAAATACCAGCCCAATTGAATTTTGTACAAGTCAAGAGGATCTCGGGAACGTCGATCAACAGGTTGACATTTCCAAGAGTCCAGGCCGAAATTGGTTATCCAACTTCCAGAGTAAAACAGCCAGCCATTAATGGTAACGAGGGCAACATTGTAAAGAAGTATAATGTTTCTCATGTCATAGGGTTTACGGTCTTTCATAAAATTGGGACCAATTGATTTAACTAGAGCAAGGTAGCCACAGATAAGAGCTATCGTTGACCATGGACCTCCATCCATAAAGGGATAATTAGAAACTCTTGGATCTCCATAAATGTTCCACACATCGTAATAATAATATTTAACATTATCCAATAATTTATGTAACAAGGGTGAAGTGGTTGATACTGGATCAGCATAGGCCATAATTAAGATATTGAAGTGATGCACAAATAAAGATTTGGACACACAAAAAAATCAATGAAATTCACAATGTTTAAAATGAAAACAGTTAACAATTATTTGGAAGAAGCCTTGAAAGACCTTTCAAAGACTTGTGGATCCAAAAGATAACTTCTGGAATCAGATGGTATTGTTGGTTGGTGTAGTTAGCCCGTTAACGGTAACAGATTAAGCACACTGATTAAACATTGGTGGGAATTGTATAATTGTGATTGAGACTGAATAACAATAGTCCAGAGAGTGTTGTGTGAGAGTAAAAGCAAGAAAGAGAAGGAAAGGGAAAGTGTTAGTGAGAGAGAGAAAGAGAGAGAAGAGAGATTATTCTCTCTCACTGACTAAGATGTCAAAGGAATAAATAATGTTAAGATTGGTGTCTTCGTGTCTGTCTTGCTTGGGCAAGAAGAAAGGAACTTGCGTTAACGGAACAAAAAGAAGACTCGGAATCCAAGGGTTGAAGTCCAATGATCTGAAGTAAAAGTGAAGAGTTGATAAAATGAAGTGAATAAACTGGACAGAAATGGTTTGATGATCAACAAAATAAGGTTAGTGGGAGACGAAGGAATGTGAACAAAATACGGTGAATAAGATTGTAGAGTGAGAAAAATACCCAAATAGAGTGAGAACAAGTGAGACTGGTCATCTTCCTTTCGCTCAGCCCTGAAGCTAAAAATTGCCTTCCTCATCATCATTTCCATCATCAATTTCACCATCCTCCTTACCTGACAGCTTTAGGCTAGATAATTCCGTTGATTTCCGTTTCTGTTTGGCTTGCTTTCTTACCTTCCTCATCATAATCATCTCCATCACCACTACCACCATCATCAACATCATCATCATCAACAACAACAACAACAACCTCCCCATCATCAAGAAAAACACTTTCTTTTTTGAAATGAAAATTGAACCATTTTAATATGTAAACTGTTATATTTTAATAATCAAGTTGACTGATTGATTGAGGCAGCCAAAATGACCAGAAAAGGCTAACCTTTCAGTCCTCTTTGATTGTTGTACTAATTACTTGCCAATCAACCTGGTGTAATGTTGCCTCTTAATACTGTTTATCACTTGATCCAGGCTAAATGTTGACAAATTAATCTATTATGCATGAGTTAAACATAATAATTAGCTTAACGTTTGTATTCACAATACAAAGTCTCATAGTAATACATTTATCCTTAAAGCTTTTCAAGTTGCAACTTTTCTGGTCTTCCTTGTCAAAACGTAACACTTAATCGTAAACAATTTGTGGCCAATTTGTATCACTATTAATCCATAATCTAATTGATTCAAAGTTTAATTCAAATTGAAATTAAAATGCACCAGCAACTGGTTACATTTAGATTTGAAGTAACTGTTAAATCATTTACAAAGTTGATCAAATAACCCAAACCGGTAAACCTTTCAAAAAGTGAGGTTCTATCTATGACTACAATCTTGACAATGATAATTATAATGGTTAACAACAATATAAGGAGTGTTTAAAGTGAGAGTTAATTAGAATGGTTAATAATGATATTTTCAATTGAGTTTCAATTTTTTACCTTCTATTTTGGGAATTAAGTCCAACTCAGCAGCAAGAAGACACCAATTACAGTGTAAAACCATACAATTGTGGACAATCATTTACATTCCTACTTACATTTGTTTATTGTAGCTGATGATAACAATCGTAATTATGGCAATAATGTTACTGTTGTTGTCTTTATTGTTGATGTTGATGTTGATGATGATGTTAATGATGATGTTGCTGTAAAAAAGAGAGATGAATAATAACTACTTTTTTGTGTTCATTTTCATTTTAATTGACTGATGCCTTAAGGACTACTCAATGGTTAACAGTATACATAATATTCATCATCATCTCCAAGTGATCAAATTAATGTATTTTTTATATCATTATATTCAATTTAAACACTGTTAATTGTTCAACTATCAAAAATCAAATTTAAATGGTAAGCCAAAAACAGTTAAATCAATTGTAGACAAAGCTAGACATTCATCAGGTTCAGTGTTTTTAAATGTTGTTCCTGTGATCCTGATTACAGTTTAATTGTTACCATTGATTACTACATTAATTATAGTCAAATAAATGATTAAATAGGGAAAATGAAATTATTTCCCAACAAAATATACTTTGATCAGTTGATGGAGTTGCTTTCATGTTTCATTAGTTTAACCATTTGCCATTCATCATTAGTCAATTGCGTTTTACCTTTCATTTTACACTTGGACACTTAAGTTCTTGCTCAATCATGATTGATTATTTAATCAGTGATTAAACAGCTCTTGAACACTTTAAAATAGCAAACTAATTGTTGTACTTAGTAATCAACATTTAGATTTGAAAATTTCAAGACAAAAAGGACTACACTCGATACTCTCATAACAACCTTTAAACTCCATCTATTAGCAATGAAAAGATTGATCAACTTGCCATTCTGTATACAACTATTAATACAAAACAGTCTCTGAAAATAGCCTGAAATGCTATTTCACAGTTGTCCTGTTATGAGAGGATCGAGTGTAAGTGCTAAAGCCTTTTCTTTACAGGGTTGGTAAAGCGTTTCTCGATGACTTTGGATAAGTTCCCATAATGTTTAGTCGGTGTCTCAAAATGTTTGGACAAAATCTTAAGCCAGATGTAAAACCAGTAACTCCTATGAAATGTTTCAACAGTTCTCATGCTTTTTAGTCAAACTCTCAGAATATTTAGACAGAATTCAAAAGAAGAATCAGTCAAAGTTCAAACAAGTATAATTTGAATTATAAAGCTCGTTTTAAACAGTGAGAGCGAATCAGTGAACGAGTCACTTTATTTTTGTTTGTTTAAGAATCTTAAAACCCTTTGTTTACTGAGAAAATTTTGAGACACTCAGATAATCTGAAGACGACAGTCGAGCAAATGGATGAGACAGTTTTGTTAATCACGATTTGACTAGTTTTAGATTTCACCTTTACGATGAGCATCGATAGTTAATTTTTTACATTCACACTGATTTTCATCATTTCAAATTATACAAAAAGGTTTGAACACAAAATGACGAGATTCAATAGATGAAAACATGGCTATAAGTTAAATGAGCTAAAGTAAAGTACCAGATAATGTCTGTTAATTAATCAATAGCCACTCAACCCCTTTATTTACATGTCATATAAAGAAAGTTTTGGTTGAAATAATCTAAATATTATTAAGAAAATCGAAAAATGCGGTGAATTTAAACTTGCTAATCTTGAGCCTAATGTTTGTAAGCTTTTCTGACAATGTTTCACTCAATTAATAGCACTTGCTGTGTAAATAAGCTATTTCAAGTTACTGGCATTATCTGGTACTTACTGTACTAGGTGATCTCATTGATTTGCCTTTTGAATATTTGCCGCAAAGAGATTTGCTTAAATCTGTTTGCTCAATTTAAGCGAACCCAAAAAGTACAGTCAATTGGCATCCATAGAGGGACACACTGGTTTAGTCAATTGTTCAACTCAACCAGAAGAGTTTGCAGTCAAAGAGTGAAAAGTTTATTAGTTTAAAGTTTATTATCTTCCAGTTCATTTCTTGTCAATTCACACTGATTGTTTTTAAACTGTGTTAACTTTTCAGTTGCAAATTTTTATGCTTGCAGTTAAATCATATTTTTTTGAATATAGCTCAACAAAGTCTACTAACTCGACTGGATACATCAAAGGTCTATTCTGTTTGTTTGAACATTTCCATTAAATTCTTTATTTCAGTTTTTACTTCTCTATAAATTGATGGAGAATCAAAAATCGTCTAAACAACCAACCACTCGTCGTCCCTTATGTGCTCGCTGTCGCAACCATGGAGAAAAAGTACCCAAAAAAGGCCACAAAAGGTTTTGTAGGTTTGCTTCATGCACATGTATCAATTGCGTTATCATTGCTGAACGACAAATTGTGAGTGCAAAGCAAGTTGCCCTTCGACGACAGCAAGAACAGGATAAAAAATATGGTCCACTAGGATCGTCTTCTAGATGCTCAAATGATCCTGATAAAAGTGATGCCGATGATCGCGATGATGTCAATAAAGGTGAGTTTCTTATGATGGTAGCCAAAGCCCATCTATTTATTGAGTGCCAATCAATAGTTTAGTGTATTGGTCATTTACCAAGTTGAAACGGTAATGACTATTCTACACTTATTCCTTTCACCCAAAATTTTGCTTCTATAGCTAAAATTTGCATTTCAAGTGAGTATCTTTTTTAAAGGGTGTCGCAGTTAGTGTGGTTCAAGTAATGATTGACCAGAATGTCATTGAAATTGAAAGAAAAGATAAATCTGATAATCATAACGATTGTTTACTGATGGCCAAGATGCCGAAAAAAATACAACAACATAGATACAATATTTCAATTGCCATATGGACATTATCATCTTCAATTTTATCTGTTTTTCAACATTCAAAAAGTGATTACTTGGGCCTTACTAACTTCAACACCCTTTATCATTTAAACTATCAGACGATGAAACATTTTCTGTTACATTTTTCCGAATTGGTTTTACCATTTTCATTTACTAAAAGTGTTCAATCTTAAAGGTGACCTTTAACCAGGTTTAGCCAAAGTTTTGCTAGGTTTTTTAACTTTACCGAGTTTTATGGTGCAAGTGTTGAACATCTTATGGTTAGTAATTTGGTTAAAACTTGCAAACATGAAGTCACAAGTTTCCATTTTTTTTGCTTATCGATTCTATGGAAAAGAAGAAAGAAAATGAAAAGGAAAGCTTAAAGCTAATCATTAGAAACATTAACATTTTTCTTCGCATCCTAATCAAGTTACATAGCTGGGCTAAGAAAAGTTCCCAACATATTAACCAACATTAATAATCATAGTTTAACATTACAATTAACAAAGTTAACTGAAAAATCTTTAAAATAAACAAAAGTTGCTTCCAAACGATCTTATCTTATCGACAATCAATTAGCTAGATTTGTCTAGTTCTTAACACTTTACCAGGTTTAACACTTTTGGTAATTTTGGTAACCAATACTTTCAACTTTTCTGGTATCCTTTTCATGTCCATTTATTGTTTGAATTTATATATTTTCTTTGTGCCACTTTCCAATTGAAATTCATCTTAAATGGTTAATTTGATCCTCTAATTTAATGAGCTAATTAAATTTGAAAAATGTTGGTTTAAACCTTTTACCACCTTCAAGTTTGTCTGTTATGTTTGCTTTAACAGATCCAACAAGTAAAACCCTTTTCAATAGATTAAAAATGTCTGTCTCTATTGCCGATCATTTAAATTCACAAGTAACTGATGTTTGCCATTTTTGGTTCAAATTTTTCTCTTCTGCTTTTTTTTCGCCTTCTTCTTCTTGTTAAAGTGTGAACTCTTCTGTTAAAGGATTAACCATTTAATTGTTTTAATTTACTTTGAGATAATCATTGTTTTTTACTGTTTGTGTATTTATCCAATTTCAATCAACATGTTGTTTTAAAAGACTCATTTGTTTTACTTTTTGTATCATCCTCATCATCATGACTCCTATAACCAAAGTGAATTGAAGAGAGAAGATAAAGGAACAACCTATAAGGTGATTTCAAGAATTATCTAGTGAAGATGAGCTAAGATTGAATATAATAAGAGGAGCAACCGAAGAAGAAGGTGGTTCCTCATCATCATCATAATCATCCTACTACAATATTTCTTCCTACCATGTTTAGTTTAAACTTAATTTTTATTTGTTGATAAATTTAAAGATTTTATTTGGTTTTTCATCTTCTTTTTGTGTGTATCTTCATCTTCAACATCATCATCGTCTTTCTCTTTTCATTTTCTCTCTCTCTCTTTCTCTGTTTTCTTTCCCTTCTCTCTCTCTCAATCCTTTTCTGACCTTAAAACAAAAGTAAAATTTGAAATACATAAAATAATACACTTGAGTCTATTGTAAAAGTAGAAAAGAATAACAATAATAATAATAGTTATAGTTTAAACAATAATCATAATAATGGGTAATAAATCATTGAAAATAAAAATTGGTTAATCCGTTAATGAGTTCAGTTGTTTGTTGTCTGTTTCATCTTTTTGTTTTATGCGTTTCCAATTCTAACTCAAGATTTTACCAAGACTCGATTTTTTCTGTCCAACTTTTTGTTACTAACTTTAAACTCAATTCTTGTTATCCAGGTTTTCTTCAATCTGAAGATTCTCAATCAACCAGTCGGCACCCTTTGTGTGCTCGTTGTCGCAATCATGGGGAAGAAGTACTCAAAAAGGGTCACAAAAGATTTTGTAAATTCGCCGCTTGTACCTGTGTCAATTGTGTGCTAATTTCTGAACGGCAACGGTTAATGGCCAAACAAAACGCCCTCCGGAAACAACAAGAACAAGACAAGCAATATGGACCACCACCACCACCACCGCCACCACCTTCACTGCCGATGATGTCGGTTACTAGTCGTATGCTTCTGGAGCTTCTTGCAAGCATAAACATGTACAACATGTACTATTCGATGAATTGTCCCAACCGATAATAGGCAATGCAGTTTCTTGGGTTCTCTTCATCCAATCCTTCATTCCTACAAACCAAATTATCGACCAACAGGAAATGTTGTCAATTGTTCAACTAGAAACTCGACGTTCATTTAACCATGTTTTTTTCAACCACCTCAATTTTACTTTTCTTAATGATCAGCTATTATGGTACAATCATTTATTTACAGTGAAAAACTCTAAATTACGATGAATCGCACAAGGTTTTCTGATATTAATAAAAATGTTAACTAAATAAATTAAAATCTCGACATTGAGAAATTTTGTAAATAATAAAAACAAGTTCCTGAAAGAAAATCGTCTAATTAATTACTGAAGTATTGAAGACTAGTGAATACAAACTTTGATTTTATCCGTGCTGATCTTTTTAGAGCAAAAGCGATTTCTTAGAAAATCAAGAATTGGATCAGAAATTGAATTTGAATCATTAACTCTTTTAGTAGCTAATTGTTGTGAGATTTTAACGACTGAGTGAATTTTTTTAACAATACAGTTTTGCTACAAGCACACAAAATCTTTGAATAATCGAATATTTTCGCTTCTTGTGTTTCTTTTGAGGGATGCAAATGAGTACACATTTAGAGTTATTAATGAGATGCCACTAGTTTTATAAATACAAAAAATTTACAGATGAGATAAATATTATATCAGACAGTTCTTGAGAGTATATTTGGTTTGCGCTGAGATGATTTGATATCTTTACCATAGAATACTTTTGAAGGCACAGATTTGAATGGTAATGCTGGTTTTTCTAGAATCTTCATTATGTACACTCTGTCATAGTCATCACAGTATTTCCCACTCTTTTAGTCACCGTCTTGCAGCCATGTCCTGAACCAGGATTCTGATTGAATTGCATCGAACTGTGATGGTGACTGCCTGGACCAAAATGAGAACCGAAAAAAGATTCACCAGAACCGAACCCATGGAACTCAGGACCAAATCCTTGACTAGAATGGCCAAAGTGATGAAAGTCTTCAGGTTCTGTAAGAATGAATGAGTTATTAAAATATAAGTGATCAATGATAATTGTATTTAAAATCGTATATGAAATAAAAAACTAACCCCACATGTTATCGCTGAAAAGATCATCGAAATTAAACCCAGCAAACTGAAACCGATGGTGTCTGTGGTCATGTTGATGAGAGCTTTCATGATGATGACTATCCCCATGGCTATGGTGATGCGCTTGATAGTTTGAACCATGAAATCGGAATGCGTCATCGAAATGTTTAAAGAATTCATTATAATCAAAGTCCGCTTTAAAATGAGCTCCACCACTCCATCCTCCATGACTAGAAGAGCCTTCAGGGCCCGAGAAAGCAGAATGTCCGAATTTATCGTATTTTTTCCTTTTATCTGCATCAGAAAGGACATCATAGGCTTCGGCAATATCTCTGAACTTTTCCTCGGCGTCTTTTGATTTATTCTTATCCGGGTGATATTTCAAGGCTAACTTTCGAAAGGCTCTTTTGATTTCACGATCAGTGGCCGACTTTTTAATACCAAGAAGATCATAATAGTCTTGTTTACCTAAAACTTCGGACACTAATAGAGTCACAGAGATAAAGAAAGCTGCAAAGGACAATGAATCTGGGAATTTCATGATTAAAAAGCCAAAAGTTGACGGTAAACAAAACACAAACAGGTAACAAAATAAAACAAAATAATTAGATCACCGTATTACAACAAACAAAATCAACAGAATATCAAAATATGATGAAATTTGAGAAGGAAACAGACACATAAAAGAACATTATCGATGAGAAATAAAGGAAAGTAATTACTTTAAAAAGTAATTAATTAATAGAAGTAAAATTGGTCTAATTAAATTAAATTTAACGCAAGTTGAAATTTATGTTGCATCAAACTGTTTACTGATGTGGATCAATCTTATTGGCCTGATAAATAAAGAAGGAGGTCCTGCTGTAGGAATAACTCATTTTGTTATTTGTAGAGCAATACAAAATTAAACAATTTATTGTTTGAAATATTTTAAGATATGTTTTTATATTGATTAAAACTTAATCACGATTGATTAAGGATATTCAACTACGTATTGATGAAAAATAATAGATTAAATCCCTAAATACTTCAAACAAATAAAATAAACAGATTAAATACTAATTACTTTGCTCGTCATTCAAACCTTTTCGTTAATTTTTGAATATTTTGTAATGTTCAAATGATTGAGATGTACATTGGGTATCAAGCTAATTGAATCGATTTAGATTTTCTTATTTTAGATTAACGAAAAATGTTTTAAAATTATTCCAAAAAAATAAATGATAACGTTTGCCATTTTATTTTTCATCTGGGTTCATTCATAAGTTAACATTCCATGAATCTAAGAAATTTTACAAGTTGATTCGTTTTATTAAAAACTATACTTGTGATGACTTTTTCATGGTTGTTTTTTTTGCCGGTCCTTCAATGAGTTTCACCTTTTTTACCAGCTACGCGCTTTAGATCAGCCAGATTGGTAGAGGTGACAGGTGATCCTATGACTGATAAGTGGTCAATTCTTGTTGTCTCACATCCTCCTTGGTTGTCTTTAACAAAAATCTGAAATTCAGAGATTCAGTAATCAATAAAAGCATTTTAGAAATAATATTTTAGAAAGTGGGCATCTCAATGACTGGGCAATTCATAAAGGAAAAAATAACTTACCAATAAACTGCGAATATTCTGAAATTTAACAAATCTAAGCGGTATTAAAGCACCTTCGACGAAGTCTTTAGGTGTACATTGGATAGTTTGAACAGCTTCCATTGACTCAGCTTGATCAAAATCTAATGTTCGCGGTTGATTAATGAACAACTTGATAGTTTTAGGTCCCTTATCAGCTGGTGCAGCAATTTGCAAGGAATGAAGTTTAACGTTTTGGGTAAAAGCTAAATTTATAATCAATTGTTCATCAACATCAGATTCGAGGTAAGTGGAAGATCCAGGAGTCAAACATCCAGCAAGAGTGTGTTCATCACTTTCATTGAGACATTCGCAATCTTGTTTGGCAAGCATAGAATTAAGATTAATATGACCTGGGACTGAGCTTGAACTACCACTTCCCGATTCATCACCAATCAGTTCCTTTATTTTAGCCTCTAAAGCTGCAGCATTGGCACCTTGAATAGTGGCAAGTTTAACTTTATTTCGATAAAATATGAAGGTAGGCATCGCATTAACCCCTTGGGAATGAGCGCTCTCTTGACATTGATCGACATCGACTTTCAAAAATACAGCACGAGGATATTTAGTGCTCAATTGCGCAAAAACTGGAGCAATAACTTGACATGGACCGCACCTGAAATCATTTTTGAATCATTTAAAATTGAACATTACATATGGCGCAAAAGAGGTAGTAAAAGAATAACAAATAAATTAATAAACAAAGGACCTAATATGAAGTCTCATAAGGATAAAAGAATAATCTAAGACGAAGAAAACATGATTGGGTGAAATAGAATGTTAACTAAATCAGGTAAAAATATTCAAAAAATACAAAAATCTTTCAAATGGAAAAGAATGACAGATGAAAATGCACTATTAATCAGAATGATTTGATGAAAATGACTAAACTTACCATGATGCTGTAAAATCAACTACAGCCAGGCTGTCAGCCGCGTTTGTGAGTTCCACTTGAAAACGAGAATCGTCAGGAACAACAATGACACCCATTGCAATGATTTAAATATAGTCTGATGAAGAAAATAATAAAAATGAAAGAGTAACTAATAAATCAAAATCAAACTTAAATTGAACCGGATGATAAAAATATCTATTTATCTTTCATCTTATCACGATTCAGGATACCGATATCTTAACGGGAAATACTCGGTAAGGGGGACCTGTCAGTTCATTAATTCTCTCTAAGGGTCTGCTTATCCACTTTTCATGGCTCAAATAATCTATTGCAGCCTAATTGAATCTGATTGAATCTTATTAAATTTGAACTAATAAAATATGGTCGGAATAATCTAAAAATAAACCTCGTTTCTTTTAAAAAATACTCGATACAAAGAGCAAATCCTAGTAGATACACACAGGTAATGTTGTAATGGTTACTAAATGTAATGGTTAATATAACCAGTAACCGTGGTTAGTTTCCTTTAATTTGATGCTTACTTATTGCGCCATAATTTGAAAATCGTTTCTATTTTCGCACGCTATCTACTGATTGGACTATTACTTAAATCACAAGAAATTCGTTAATTTTATTGAATTAAATCGAAAACTTGCAGCCAAAAAGATGGTTTCAGGAGAAAGCTTTTCAACCAATCTGATTAGTTACTCAGTCGATTTATTTAGTGATTGATTTACACGATGAGAAGAGCAAATTGAATAAAATCACCGGAAACATAATATGAACGAAAAACCAAATTAAATGTACGTTTGACACACTTTATGGTGGTTTATTGAGATTAAAATGTTTAGACGTTTTTACAAATGATGAAACAGATTTATTTTCGCTATAAAAAAGAGAGTCAAGTTTATTAATCATTTTCTAATTTTATTTCGTTAGCTTTTGAAGAGAGTGTAAACGTGTTTGGTAATAAGAAATTATAGAACAATTAGAAATGCTGTTTCTTTTCACACTGTCGGTAACTCATTGATCCCAAACAGAATATTTGATACCATAATTAAGAGAATGATAATGATGATGGTATAACTTGACAAAAATATCAACTATTGTGAGATAACATTGAGTAATTGACGACAGTTGAAGTTTAATTCCTTCAAGGCATAATCAGGCGGAATCGGCGTGTTCAATTGGTAAAGACCTCCACGAAGAGAAACCAGGATATAATTCATTTTTCGAGCCATCTCACTTTGACACAAGGTTTGTCGGTCATTTTCACATTTTAATAGATGAGCATTGAAATCATCAAGGTTGGCATCTGATTGACTGATTAAAGCTTGCGAATAAATGTCGTAAACATTCGCACCATTAGAAAACCAATTTGGTATTTTTTCACGATGAGGCTTTAACTGATCAATAATTTGTCGAAGAGTAGCCAGGTCAGAATAAATAACTAACTCTGGAAATATTTTATCAACGAAAGCATCATGTGCTTTGGACCATTCTTCTCCTTCGAGTAGTGCAAAAGCATATTTTTCATAATCAAAAATATTCTTAAAATAGATAGCTTTCAAACGGGAGAGCAATGATTTTGGAATGGATAAAGATGATAATAAATGAGAATCATCTTGAGCTCGGAAAACTGGAGAGTAATGTGTAATTGCCTCTGTAACAGCATAATTACGTAGGAAATCGTCTTTTATATGGCAGGCCACAAAACAAGCTAACAATACATTTTTGGATATCAATTGAGACCAAACAATCATATGGATAAGATCACTTCGAGAATCATTTTCAATAACTTTATAACTTTGTAAAGATTGATGGAGAAACCATCCTTCCAGATAATTATCTGCAGCATCGATTGCATGGAAAGGTGAATGGCGGGCGAGTAAATGGTATTCAATGTCATTTGTTTCAACGGTAAGATTTTCAATACAATCTGGAAGACCATCGTGAGTTGAAAAGACAAGCATTAAACATAATTGCTGTGTCCAAGTTAATCCGTCAAGCACATCAATTTCATCTCCAGAGCTGGTTACCCATCTAACACCACCAGAAAGTATTACGTAAATTTTAAGAAGATTTTTATCGATAAAGGCATCAGCGCCACTTTTTCTCCAGCTTTCCAATTGTTTGATTGTGCTGCTTTTAACATTCAAATTATTTCCGGAACAAAGTAAAATTGAAATTTTAGGCATTCGACCGACTAATGCCTCATCAATGGCTCCTTTTAAGTCATTACAACACAGATTGTGGATTATTCGAGAGGAAAGATCTCTTGGTTTTTTCACTAACTTATTTCTTTCAGCTAACCAGTCAATAACTCGGTTGATTCTTTCGTGTTGTTGTCCATATAAAGTTGTTTCACTCAAATCTCCAAAAAAGGCTTCCACGAATTTTTCCAAGTGGGCAACATTATGTTTATTAAGAGCCTTTGGTTTAGTTTCGATAAATGGTGGTTCACTTTCTTGACTTGAAATAGTTGAATTATCTTTTAATTGGGTATCGAATCGTGAATAATGGTCTGAAACTTCGGAAATGAGATCGAGGTTATAGATGATAACGTTAGTGCCTTTTATCAGGGTAAAATTTGATGATCCATTGAAAAATCTAATTTTTGGTGACAAGCTATGACGAACAGCGCAGCTATCATAGAAAAGATTATGACTAAAAGGGAAAATATCGGGCTCTAAAATTAATTCACGCTTCTTAACAAAATGAATTTTGGTAACATAGCTTGTGGGCATTTCGACCATAGGCTTCTTTTCATCAGCTACATTTGGCGTTCGCTTAGGTCTTTTAAAATTTGTCTGTGCGACTTGATCGCCATCATCTTCTTCACTAAACAAAGCAAATCTCATTGAATCATAATAGCTTGAGAAAATTTCAGGGACTTTTTCGACTGAAAGATCTTTGAAATCGGTGACCAAAGCCCCAGCCCCGGTTATTTGACTGATTTGACTTATGTTTAGAGCACTTCTATCGTGAATAAGAGTATAATCAGCATAACTTTTATCAGAACGCATCTCCATGATTTCGAAAGTAGGTGGCTCTTTCGTTTGAGTTGACTGGGATGGTTTATGGAGAATTAATCGACCAGCAGGAAGGACGGATGAAGGAGGAGGAGGAGGAGGCGGCAACTGTTCTTTGTCATCTGGTAGATCATCATCGTCATCGTCAACTAGACCGTATTTTGAAAAATGTTTAACACAAAAGACCCATGATCCAGACTCGGGTCTATATTCCTTAAAAGTCGCTCCTAACTTGTTTGTTGCGGCTTCAATTTTTTCAGTATATTTCATTGTTCGTAGTCGATCAATATCTTTAATTATTTCATGAGTTGTTTTATCCACTGGCCAAACTTGATGTAAAGTTATTTGAGCTGGTCTATTAAGTCCTTCACCAATCTCAGGTTTACAATCATCATCAGGATAAACAATTACTTCTTTTCTTCTTATATGAACAATCTCATCAAGATTTAAACCTTTAACATCCAATGGATCTTCCCAATAAATTTCACCATATCCTTCACGGCCAATAATAAAACTAGGAACTGGACAGGTATCATTTGATGAATTGTAATATTTATCAAGATCTTTATACGCAGGTTTAGTATAATAATCTAATTTTGTCAATTTTAATCCACATTTTAATGGTGGTGGAGGTGTAGACGGACAAATCAGGCTACTTTCATCATTTGAATCCCCAACACCAAGCAAACTAGAATTATTAAGATTGTCACCCATTATTGATGTTTCACCAAAAGTAACTGAATTACGTGGAGTGCCATGATTACTATTGTTATTATTATTGTTGATGTTGCCGGTGGTGATGGTTGTGGTTGTGTTTGATGCATTTGTAGCATTATTTTGATTGATTGAGAAAAGTTCAGAAACAGTATTTTCAGCAACATTTTCTTTGGATGCACTTGAAATTGGTCTTTGTGCAAACGATAGAGTTGGTGAATCGGTAATTGATGCATTTAGCGATGAATCTTTAGGCTTGAGAACTAATCTTTTAATGTTTCTGCGAGGTGCAAATAAATCCAAAGCTGATTTAGGTTCTTCTTGCGCTTTTTCATCCTCTAGATCATCAAATAAAAATGATGAATTTAATGTAGCGGATCCCGCCTTACGAATCACCTTTGAGTTACTAGCAGATTTATTGCTAACTTTATATTGATATAAAGTTTTCGAATCTGAAAACTTCATAGGCAAAGATTGACTCAAACCATTAACATTTTGAAAGACAGGCGAGTCACCATATGGCATGTTTTGGAGTCGATTCATTAATAATTCAGAAGTAGGCATATTTTGGGACAAACTTTGTTGCAACGAAATTGGTTGCACTTGTGACTGTCCAGTTTGGAGAGAGTTTGTAAACATAGACCCAGATGTATTTTGAGCACCAAAAAAGTTTGTAGTACCGGCGTTGAATGAAGGTGTGGTAATAGGATTACTTGAGAAGTTGAATAGGTTTGCTGGCTTATTCATTGCGTTCGTATTGGCGGTAGAAACTGTTGTTGACAAGTTAGACGAAAATAAAGATGCTGCTGTTGTGGCTGGATTAGAGTTAAACATGAAAGTGTTTTGACCAAAGGGTGCTGTAGTTCCAAAAGTATTAGTACCTGTGGTTGGTAATCCAAATCCAGGTTTTGCAGCAGTAGTAGATGCATTAGCTCCGAATAATGATGGAGTTGTTGTTGTAGCTTGTGCACCAAATAACGAAGGAGTAGCTGTAGTAGTTGAGGTACCAAATAATGATTTGGTTTGTGTATTTGTAGCTGGAGGTTGAAAGAAATTGGTACTTGGAGTAAATGATGATGGAGTTGGGTTGAATAATGATCCTCCAGAGGTGACAGTTGCAGGTTGTTGGTTTACAGGTCCAAAAGAAAATGTTGTTGTGGTTGGTGCCGTTCCAAATGCAGGCTTTGCTTGTTGTGTACCGAAAGTTGGTGCATTAAAGAGTGATGTTGATGTACCAAATGTTGGTTTACCAAATATTGAGTTTGTACCAGAGCTAAATGGAGCAGTAGTGGCACTTTGTTGCTGCTGCTGTTGCTGCTGTTGCTGTTGCTGCTGTTGTTGTTGTGTAGCACCAAACAAAGATTCAGTAGTAGCCGTTTGACCAAACATAGCTCCTTGAGCTTGTGGACCTTTACGATTAGCTTGATAATCTTCCCAACGTAACTCTTCCATTGATTTTGTTTCATACTCTTTCATGGCAGTGATACATTGATGTCGAGTACTGATAGTAGTGTTGATATTGTTCTTCAACATTGTATCACTTCCAATTAATGGATTAAATTTGACAGTAGTACCAGGAGCTTGCATTGTATTAGTAGCAGTTGCTCCACTGAATGGAGTTGTAGCTGAGAATGTGTTTTGACCAAACAGAGATTGTGTGCTTGTTTGAGCGGTATTCGTTCCACCGAAAAGTGATGTTGTAGCAGCACCACCACCAAAAGGAGAAGCAGCTAAACAATGGTATAAAAAAAATCATTAGTTATATATAGCCATAAAAAGAGTCGGTAGTTGCTTAACGTAAAAATAAGCGTCAAATTGATAGCTAAGCAAATTAGAGTATTAAATAGAAAGTTAAAACAAATGAAAGTACCTGTAGAAGTAGCTCCAAACGCTGTTGTTTGTTGTGTTGTTGATGGTGAACCAAAGAAAGGTGTTGTAGATGTTTGCGAGCCAAATAAACCAGTACTAGTAGTAGCACCAACACCGAATCCTGTGGCTGGTGCTGTTCTATTGGCTGTAAATGCAGCAGGTTGACCAAAAGTTGATTGCATTCTGTTGGCTGGAGTTCCAAAGCCAAATGTATTCTGTGAGGTTGATGGTGCATTAAATGGGCTTGTGGTTGAAGTTTGTGGTGTTCCAAACATGGTTATACCTTTCCAATTAATTACCTATTGTCCCACAAATCATGAAATTAACTAAAAACTAATTGGCAATCAGAAAATAAAAAATTTCAAATAATTAACAATTGACGCACATTGAAAGGAACAGTAAATTTGTAATAATGATCGGCATGGGAAACCGTTTATAGAAAAAGAATTGTTGAAGAGTAAAAAAAACCGCAAAAAGTTACACTCGACAATAATAGATGGCGCTTTCACTTGTCTTCGCGCTTTTTCCAAATTTTGACAACCTCAAAGCTTCACCAATAATCAATCATTACTAATCGTTAATTATAAACACCATAGAGCCAAAATAAACTGCTATTTTGACCACAAAACATTTTATTGACCAAATTTACTTTAACATTCAAAATAAACATGAGATAAATCTAACCCATGTTTTGTTTTAAAACTGGATTCTGCCCTTCCCTCGGTGTTACCTCAACTTGAGATGCTTAAGCAATTATTAAATTATTATTATACGTTTTGTTATGAATGTGCACAATTCACTTGACTTTTACATCAATCAATCTGGATTTGGAAGAGTGAAAATGTTAAGCCTTTTGATTTAGATATCACTTGAATTTGAATGATTGAAAGTTAATAATTGTAAATCATTAACCATTCGATTATGTGTAAATTTAAGAATCAATTGTATTTCACTTGTACTTTTAAGAGGTCAATTGATGCTGCTTTTAATCTAAAATGGTCGATTAAAATTCAAATCACATCTAATATTAGAGTATATTTTATTAATGATGATCAATTGAATTATTATAACATCTAAAGGGTAAACAAATACGGGTTACAATGTTGACAATCATAAGTAAAAAGTCTAATCCAACTGAATCCATTCTAATATTTGTAAAAGCTTGATTGATCATATTGTGTGGATAGCAATAAGACTGTGATAATTGTTAGTAGAAATGGTTGATTGAAATATCTGGATAAATTGTTAATATCAGAATAAATAAAGTGAAGATAATTGATTTAGAAAAGTAAACTCAACGAGAATTAATAAATAATCAGAATTGAAAGTTTCCACAAACATGTAAACAAATGAATAGACACAGCAAATTCAATGTACATTTCCAACTAAATAGCAACTCTATGAAGCTATTTAACATTATTTTATATTAACTGATTATGATACTTTTAATATAATTGTATATTTGATCAACTAATGTCTAATTGTCTCCATTTGCTGAAAAGTCAACCACGGAATCAAAACTGAATGGCTGTTAACACATGAAATGGCAATATGGATCAAGAGTGAATGTTGATCAATAGATTCAGAAGCTCACCATTAATGGCTACTATTGAGTTGATTGGTGTCTAGATAATTGGTTAGCTTGATTGACTAATCGAGGATGCATTGTTGTTTGATAACTTGGCGAGTTGAACATCAAGAGTTTCAATGACTGATTGACAATAAGAAGTCTCACCAGTCCATCAAAAATTAATTTAACCATCGTGACTGGAAACATTACCTTTATGCAAAATACTGTCAATTTGTATGATAATCGTCAACAGCAACATCAACATAACAATCATAATCATAATCATCCTCTTCTGGTAACAGTTTAAACATCAACAAAAGTTACTTTTTTTCATTGAAAGCAAAAGTTGACTTGGACTGAGCAAACAAACAAAATTACACTTCAGTCAAGAGGACAACTAAAAAAACAATCAAAGTAACAATAACAAAATGAATTGTAAAAAAAGGTCCATTTAAACGCCAATCTCATTTAAATAATCACGACAATCAAGACAAAAATGATCATTGTCAGTCTTTACATCTTCATCAACATGAGCTTCAACATTACATTTCCCATCAACTCAATCTAAGCTGATTTTGATCACAGATTTATTTCAATCATAACCCAATCAACACACAAGACTACAGAGTTATGTTAAAACACCAGATTTAACCCAAACTGGTTCGCTCCTATTTAAACAGCTGCTGTATCCAGATTAGCGGTCACAATGAAACAAACCTTTACTGGACACCTTTTTAATGTGGAAACCGTTTAAATTGGATGAGAAATTTTAAGATCAATTATCAAATTAACTTGTTAAAGTAACTCCAACTGATATTGGAAGCCACCTTCACTAACCATTTTGATTTGGGAATAAACTTGGTTTCACCCAAAGACAATCAATTGATTCACGTAAAGGTTCACCTATTCAATTGACCTACCTACTATGACTTTTGTTTACCCGATATTAACAATTATTTATCAACAATAAATCATTTGAGCTGTTACTATGTTCATAGTGATAATAATAAGTGTAGTTAGAAGCAGAAAATTGTTCAATCTGAAAATCCCACGTTAATTGAAAATAATGGAAAGGTAAATTAATAGCTGTTAAATGATAACTTCAACTTTTCATCTTCTCAATCATTTTGTTATAATTGTTGCGTTCATTCATCAACACACACAAAATTCATTAGCAACCAAAATGGTCTTAAATTGTATTATTTAAGTAAAAATACAAATTAAAACTGGTTTCCTATTCATTTAAACAATTGAACCCAAATATGTTTAGGTGATTAACTTAACACTAAACAAGTGTTTACCTTGCCTTAAATCCATTGTTCAAGTCATTTGTTTCATCTTGCTAACGATATTATTTATCATTTTGGTTTAATTTTACTCAATCTTAATTTAACTCTAATCTGATCAATTGGAATTGAATTAAACCCTTGAGATGACCAATAAGTGTTTTGTTTATTCATGAACAAACCATAATGTAATGTGCTTAAAGTAGCTCAGCTTTTCATGTTGACCAAGTGTTGTTATCCTTTCCTATTTTTGCTGTAAATTACTTTCTAATTTAGTTTATTAAAATGGCTAATCATTATCATCTTGATTACATGCAATCCTTGTGTCAAGATGGTTAATTAGAATCAGAAAATATTCCAACAATTATCCCATCATTAAGAAGATGATCTAGAATAAAAGAGTTGCCTTGGTAAAGAGGTTTCCAGCAATCCTTTTTTGACAATCTACTTGTTGATTAAATGAATAATTAACTTGATCCGGAAGACTTGGACTTTAATTGATGATAAATATCCATTCATGGTTAACTTAACCACTCCTGATTCCCTTGAATTGCAACAGAATCACAATTGAGACCAGATTAATGTAAGAAAAATGGCCAATGAGAGTTGAAAATTTGTGACTCAAAACAGATGATCATCACAAGTTACCTTTTTTTTTGCTTCCTGGTAATTGTCAATTATATTTTGTAAAAGAAAACACTTTTCATCATTAAAAAAGGATAATAATTGTAATTTTAAGAACAGAATAGAGTAATAATGGTAATAATTATGAACAAATCAGAATACAATTGCGAATGTCAAAAGATTCTTGTATCAATTTGACAGTCAATTAGAGATGGGCGATATTGAAAAATAATATCATCGTAAATATCGATATGAAATTTTGCGATATCGATATTATCGATATTATCGATATTTTATGAAAACGAAACAAAAAACAATTACTGAATGAATAATCTCATAATGAACTCTGAAAAGACTTTAAAGTTGTCATTAGATGAGCTTTTCAATGTCTCAGATTATATCTTTTGCATTGAAAAGAGCCTTTTCTTGAGCGAATGCAGAGATATAAAAATGCAATGTTATGGTCATTAAAAATTTTCCGAAATTTACACAAAAATTTAGCTAATTAGCATCTTTTAAATGTCTTAAATCATATCGATATTTTTTTCAGTTTATCGATGATATTTTTTGTAAAAATATCGATATATATCATCGATTTCGATAATATCGCCCAACTCTACAGTCAATAATGAAAAGATATGTGAAGATGGAAAGACTCTTACCTCTCGGTTCAATCCATTATTCTGATGGACAGAATCAAATTGTTGAATTGATATAAAGATATAGTAGACATAATGAGCCATTTGAAGAGTTAATAAGGCTAAATGTGATTCAATTAATCAATTATTAATAATAACATGATTTGCGTAACTAAATCCATTTCCAATCAATTGACTCTCCCTATTTTGCTAGACACAAAGCGTAATATGTGAAGCTACCTTTAACCCTCTTGATAAGACTATTTGTTATGCTGATTTCAATTTTTCATTTAAAGGATTTATTTTGCTAATAATTCAACAGATTTGAATATCAATCAATTAACTTCAAATCTAAACAACAATTTAACCTTTTCTTTGATTGTTTGGTCAAATCATCATCAACCTTCATCGGCCATTTGCTATTCCCATATCTTTTTGGGTTCATTTTACATAAGCATTTAACTCTGTTCATTGGTTACCTTTACTCTATGCCTTTCTTCCTGATCACTGATTTAAAAATATAACTTTGATTCTCTGCTTTAATTAAGATGATTATGATGATTATAATGATGATACAAATGGCATCTTTAACTTTAATAATGATCACTGTTGGTCATCTTGGCTGATGGAGTTTTGGAAACAAGAAAAGATGAGTTGAAGATCAATTTCATAGTTTTAAAGTAATCATGTTTTAATCTTCATTTTATTTCCTTTTCCCTTTGAAATGAATTTTTAATTGTTACTGGGTAATCATAATATAATGATAATATGTGTATATTAAATGTACATCTTATCTAATATTTTACATACATTAACTGTTTATTGTTATCCTCTTCGGTTCAGATGAAATATAAGATTATAGTGAAGCCAAATTAAATTGATAAACATGGCTTGATAATTAACATACAGCCATGTTTAATTGTGGCTAAAAACAATACAGATATATTAAGACAATCGTGCATTACAATTAATCATACAGTGAAATAATATTACATAAAATACACATCAATAACTGTTTGATTAAAAGTGAAGGAAATTTGAAAATGAAAAAAAATATATAAAGCAACAATCAATAACATAATAAGTTTGTAATGGTCTTACCGAAACTGGTTTTAACCATAACATTTAATTCACTTTGCTATTGTAACGCCATCATGAAAAAATGAGGATTCAATCAAATTGAATCCAGTAAAGCAAACAATAGATGGTAATCGGAAAGCAATTGAGAAAAGGGAAAATTGTTGCGTGACAATTAAGTGTTAAATTTTGATAACTTTGAGGATAGAATCGATTGATAATCTTATTTAAGGTAGTGATATAATTTGTTACTTTTCATCAGGATTCATCAACAAAAGCATAAATTCAAAAGTATATCACAATAATACAAAAGTAGATGCTAATCAATCAAAGTCAACTGTCAATTTACTAGGTAAATATTTTCATTAACTATTCGCATTGATTAAAAATGTATAAATATAGCAATTCATTTTATCGATGAAATTGAATATTAATTGATTTATTGCAAGGGTAAAAGTAAAAGTTGTCATATATGAACGTCCCCTTAAGTTATGACTAACGACTTTCAAATTAAAACCGCCAAGACAGACGATTTGGTTTCTAACTGTTGTTTAATTTATGTTTAACTGTTTATATTTTTTCGTACAATGCCAATAATTGATTTGTTATGGTTTGCTTCAAAGGAAACAAATAATTTGCTTAATTAAGTTGTACAAGAAGTGATACATCAATAATGGTAAGATTATCTTTTTTTCTTTGTTTTAATTTTCGCATTTCAATATTTTTCAGTAACAGCTTTTTCTTTTCTTTCTTATAGCGTCAATTGTCTCTTATTGTACATCCATTTAATAAACATGTCTGATTGGTCATCGTCTGAACTTTAACTTGGCCATTTTTGGGATGTGTTTTCGTCTGAGCTTGATGGGTACCATCAATACACAATCAATGGTGATTCAATAATGGCTGAACAAAAAGTCTCATCGGAAGTCTGCTTTATTTGCCAATATGGTGCATGTAGGGTATTGAATTTATTTTCACTCTTATTGTGGTGTAAAAGGAATGGATGGTCAACTGTTATGGTGATAATCTTGCTGTTGAGTTGATTGTTTATATAAAACTTTTTTCTAAATCGTGGTTAAATTGAATTATCAAGCAGTTCTTTTTGTGTTGGTGATCACTCTCTCGTCTATTGCAACAGTTTTTTTTTCTTTATATTATTTCCTATCTTAAATTTCCTCTTTTTTACCATTTCTCATCTTACAAGCAAGAATGACGTGCCTCATTGAATTTACAATTTATCTTGACTTTTGTTGGTTATCAGTTGATTCTAATTCTAATTTTCAATCTCCTTTTCTTTCTCTCACATTGAATGGTCACTGACTGGTCAAGAAAGATATTTTTAAGTCAACAACAGCAACTATTACAATAATACAATAATAACAGTTACAATAACATGATGTATCATCAGGTTGGAAAGAAACAACAGAATCTCATATACAAGATTAGAAAAGAGAGGGATGTTGGGGGAGGTAGAGAGACAAGTTAGAAAGGAAAAGAGGATGATGATGGTGAAGAAGAGATCAAATTTGAGTAGACAAAAGAGTTGGTTAGAATCATCACGAAAATTTTCTTCATCAATCGCACGATTAACTTAATTATGTCCGATTCTTTTTTCTTCCTCTTCCTTAAATGTCCATTTGACTCATCATTATCATCATCAACAACAACATCATCTTTTTCAATCTTTTTCACTTTCTCTCAATTTTCTTCTCATCTTTTAATTCGTTCACACTTATCCTCTTATCTCTTTTTTAACTGCTTAACACGTTCTATGGTTAACTCTATTTACGTTATTGAAACACTCAATTCAATTGTTTTCTCACTCTCTTTCATACTTACTAAAATACTAATTTTCTCTTCTTCACCAGCAAAATCATCTTGATGATGTTTCCGTCAGAATGATCAAGAAGCACGTTGATTGTAATTGGAGGATAACCTGTAACAGAGAAACATAAATTAAAGGCTGAACAAAATTCGTGAAATGGCAAATAGTGAATATTAATAATGAAGTTACAAGAATAAAGACGAGTAAAGAAGATTCAAGTACTGATAAAGCCATGTGGATTAAAGATGTTCAAATTATTATGAAAGTGGGAAGATTTATGTACACGATTATGAAAACGGTAAGCGTAAGAGGGAAAGATTGAGTAGAAAGAAGAAAAAGCATTAAAATGCAACCAGAATGAAGAATAGAATTGATACTTGATTAAATAGTGAAAAGTGAGTAAAAAGTAAAGGTGAGATACCGAGCTGGTGGATCAAGTAATAAATGTAAGAAGCAAAGATGATGAAGATGATGAAGATGATGAAGATGTTGATGAGATAAAGAGGAAAAGGTTTGATGAGTTAAAAAGTGAGAATGGTGAAAGGGGTGAGATAAAATAATGTTGATGATGAGAAAGATTGAAAAATAAGGTAGACAAAAGCCTGAAGAAGAAGTGGAAAGAGAAATGATTGTTTAAACAGACCATTTTAAGAACCTGTCTCGAAATAGGCCGAAAATATGCTGTGTTTCATAGAAAGAGAGAGAAAAAGAAAGAGAAAGAGAGGCGGTCATAAGAGGTTAAACATGATTGAAATGGAAAGAGAATCGGATGGGCCAGTCCTGCTTTCTCTTCTTTAACATTTTAATCTTTCCTGGCTTTCCTTATCCTCATCCTTCGAACCTAAATTGTTCACCAGATTATGTTGGAAGAATCAAAAAGTTCGGACTCACACTCGTGCTCACAGGGGAGCCAACAATTTATAAAGATAACTGTTCATCTAATTCGAGTTTCTGTCATATCAAAGTCGATTCTCATTGTGTTAACTTAGTTTATTCATGTTTTTCTCTTCTTGATTCATCTTAATCATCCTCAATAGTTACTATTACTTTCATTTATTACCTTCTGCCTGCAGGTTCAGGCAAAACTTTTTCTGTGCTGCAAATTATTTCATTGATTTTGTAAATGTGATTATCTTATCCATTTAGCAGTTTCTTCATTCTTTGATCTGATCTCAACATTTTCATTTGATTTTTTTTGTGTTATCTTGTGTTCTTACACCTAAAGTATTTTTTCATATCATCATGAGTTTAACGTATCAAGCTCGTACAATTAGTATATTTTTTTTAACCCTGGTGGTTCTTCAATTGTGCCTGGTAACATTCTATGGGACCGAAGTAGATGCCGGTAAAAAGAAGAAGCTCAAGAAATTGGCTGCTCTTTTATTGCTTCTCAAAGGATCTAAGAAACCAAAATTCGGAATATTGCCAATTCCCCTACCAATTCCTATTCCGTGAGTAGACTTTTGTCATCAATATTTGTTATTAGTGAATCATGCTTACATAAGCAATTAGTCGATATCTAATTTAATTTGATTGGCCTTTTTATAAGCTTAACAATGACTGAAAACTAATAAGTCTAATTTTCTAAACAATCAATTTATCATTGAGGAATACATTTTTCAAAGTTTTCTCTTGATACTCTTCAACTTTTGAAATTTAACATCCATACTGATAGAGATATTTGTGGTTGATTTATGTTTTCAAGTGTTCTCTAATTCTTATTATTTTGTGATTCTTTATCTATATCTAGAGTTGTTATTGATTTAATGAAAAAAGCTGGTGGAAAAGGAATGATGGGTCACATGATGGGTATGATGATGGGAGGTCACGGTGGCGGCGGCGGTGGCGGCGGTCACGGCGGTGGAATGTCCGGTGGTGGCGGATATGGTGGAATGGGAATGAGCATGGGCGGTGGCGGAGGCTACGGTGGAATGAGTATGGGTGGTGGAATGTCCGGTTGGGGCGGCGGAATGGATATGATGGATATGGGAGGTTATGGTGATATGAGCATGATGAGCATGGACGATGATGGATGGGGAGGTATGATGAGCATGATGGATGGAGGCTATGGAGGAAGCTCTGGTGGCGGTGGTGGCTACGGAGGAAGCTCTGGAGGAGGCTATGGAGGTAGCTCCGGTGGTGGTTATGGAGAAAGCTCTGGAGGTTATGGTGGAAGCTCCGGAGGAGGTTATGGTGGCTCCGGAGGAAGTGGTGGTTATGGTGGAGCTAGTGGTGGCGATAGCTACGGAGGTGGAAACTCCGGTGGTGGAGGATATGGCGGTGGTAACTCTGGTGGCTACGGTGGTGCAGCTGGAGGCGGCGCTGGTGGTGCCGGAGGCTACGGTGGAATGAGTGGTGGTAGTGATGGTGGATGGGGAATGGGTTAGTTGATATTCATCTATAATCTGTGATATTTGTCTTTTAAAAATGTCTAAATCATTGTCATTTTTATCAGTCATCACTGACCTAATCTAATTTGTCATGCATCCAACGCTAATCAACTTGTCTTCTTATATTTCAGGAGGAGGTTATGGTGGAGGCCGAGATTAATTTAGTAAAAACCATAATCATTATCACCAACAAAATTCCTCATTTTCATTAAAGCCATTGTGTTTTTAATGGTTTTGTCAAAGATACTGAATAAGAAGTTTTATTTTGATTGTCACTGGTTGTAACCGTCAACAAGTTCAGTTTACTCTGAAATGTGCGAACTGATAATAGAAAATATTGAGTATCTTGAGACCATCATCTAAAACAAATTAAACCTTGTATAAATCTTTCACTTTTTGTAATCACTATTGCTATTTTGTACGTTGTTTTTCAAGAATCTCATAATAAATTGTTTTATTTGAACCTAAGACAAGAGAAATACTCATTTACAATTTTCATGTCGAATAGTAATCGAATGATAGTTTAAGAATTGGCGAAGAATCTGCAGTAATTTCAGAAATTTCAATATATCGTCACATATTTTGTCTGAAATTGGTTATTCCTGCACTATTAATATATCGATGTCCAATTATTTTCAATTTTGAATCTTTTAGAATCACATGACGAATTATTATTACCACTATTAAAGTATTGCTATTATTAACTTTTCAAGATAAACAATTTTGTCTTTCAACTGTTGATATGTATGTAATAAAGTGCAATTAATAGTTGTTATTACAATTATAAAGATAATTCAAATAGAAGACGCGTTAATAACACTTTTTATATTTATTTTTAACAAATCAACATCTATGGATTCGGGATTGAAGTTTAATTTTTGCCGAAATAGATGAACGAAATAAGATCAGCAAGATTTAATTGTCAAATGTTTTATTTTATTTATAAATTTAAAGTTTACAATAGATTTATTTTATAATTGGTTTTACAGTTTTCAATATTTTGATTTTAATTCAACAAAAGTGTTTGACATAAATGTTTATCATGAATATTTTTGAATGAAACTGGGATGTTTCATTACACATCATTAAATATTAGAATTACATATAAGTGTTTATTTGCATGAATTTTTTTCTGAATAAAGAAAAGATTGATAAATAAAAATCAAATTAGCGATAATTGCAAAGGTCGAAGTCTTTTTGAACAATCTTTCATTTTCGTTGAAAAAGATGATCTCTCTTACGAAATGGATAAATTTGAATGAACTAATCAAGTTGAATAGAAAACTTGGATTCATTGATATTGATTAAGAAGTCATTAACCTGGTTTGCATGCGAAGGATTGCAGTCGGTAAAGAATAGAGACAGATAAAATTGACAATTTGTTGATTAAATAACGACAGATGGAGATAAACGCAGAACATGCATGATATAAGAAAAGTGTAATGAAACTAATAAAGGACAAATTAAACAATTTATATCGATTGGTGAGCTCTCAGTAGACAATAGCCAAATCCTAATATTAAAACATACGTACATGGTATTATAATTCAATTGAATGAATTTTTAATGAAATGTAAAAACATTCCTCACAACTTGAATCGATTTGTCAATCTGGACAGATACAAGAGAGATCAACCAAAAGATTAGAGCTATCTAGATTATTGATGAGTGAATTTAATAAAGATGCATTTCCCGATAAATAAGGTTTCTCATTGTTTTCAGCCTTGCTTGATCCATTCATTCATTCATTAACCAACTCATAGGATGAAAAGTGTTTAACGCAAAAGACCCATGATCCAGTTTCAGGTCTATATTCCTTAAAAGTCGCTCCTAATTTGTTTGTTGCGGCTTCAATTTTTTCAGTATATTTCATTGTTCGTAGTCGATCAATATCTTTAATTATTTCATGAGTTGTTTTATCCACTGGCCAAACTTGATGTAAAGTTATTTGAGCTGGTCTATTAAGTCCTTCACCAATCTCAGGTTTACAATCATCATCAGGATAAACAATTACTTCTTTTCTTCTTATATGAACAATCTCATCAAGATTTAAACCTTTAACATCCAATGGATCTTCCCAATAAATTTCACCATATCCTTCACGGCCAATAATAAAACTAGGAACTGGACAGGTATCATTTGATGAATTGTAATATTTATCAAGATCTTTATACGCAGGTTTAGTATAATAATCTAATTTTGTCAGTTTTAATCCACATTTTAATGGTGGTGGAGGTGTAGATGGACAAATCAAGCTACTTTCATCATTTGAATCCCCAACACCAAGCAAACTAGAATTATTAAGATTGTCACCCATTATTGATGTTTCACCGAAAGTAACTGAATTACGTGGAGTGCCATGATTACTATTATTGTTGGTGTTGCTGGCGGTGATGGTTGTGGTTGTGTTTGATGCATTGGTAGCATTATTTTGATTGATAGAGAAAAGTTCAGAAACAGTATTTTCAGCAACATTTTCTTTGGATGCACTTGAAATTGGTCTTTGCGCAAACGATAGAGTTGGTGAATCGGTAATTGATGCATTTAAAGATGAATCTTTAGGCTTGAGAACTAATCTTTTGATATTTCTGCGAGGTGCAAATAAATCCAAAGCTGATTTAGGTTCTTCTTCTGACTTTTCATCCTCTAAATCATCGAATAAAAATGATGAATTGACTTGGGATGCACTCACGTTTCGAGGTAACTTTGGAGCACTAGTAGTCCGAAGACTAACTTTGTATTGGTACAATGTTTTTGAGTCCGTTGAAAACTTGACTGGTTGAGAATGAGCTGCGTTCAATAAATTCTGAGAAATTGGTGAATCTCCATAAGGCATATGCTGTAAGCGACTCAGAAGAAGCTCAGAAGTAGGCATGTTTTGTGTCAAGCTTTGCTGGAGAGACATTGGCGGAACTTGGGTCTGGCCTGGTTGCAGTGGATTTGAAAATAAGGACCCAGTAGTACCTGATGTTCCAAAGAAATTGGTCCCTGAATTGAAAACATTGCCAGTGTTGAAATTGGTCATGGTAGGGTTGGTTGGATTGAACGTGGGTGTAGTAATAGGATTGCTTGAGAAATTGAATAGGTTTGCTGGCTTATTCATTGCGTTCGTATTGGCGGTAGAAACTGTTGTTGACAAGTTAGACGAAAATAAAGATGCAGTTGTTGTTGCCGGATTAGAGTTAAACATGAAAGTGTTTTGACCAAAGGGTGCTGTAGTTCCAAAAGTATTAGTACCTGTGGTTGGTAATCCAAATCCAGGTTTTGCAGCAGTAGTAGAAACATTAGCTCCGAATAATGATGGAGTTGTTGTTGTAGCTTGTGCACCAAATAACGAAGGAGTAGCTGTAGTAGTTGAGGTACCAAATAATGACTTGGTTTGTGTATTTGTAGCTGGAGGTTGAAAGAAATTGGTACTTGGAGTAAATGATGGAGTTGGATTGAATAAGGATCCTCCAGAGGTTACGGTTGCAGGTTGTTGGTTTACAGGTCCAAAAGAAAATGTTGTTGTGGTTGGTGCAGTTCCAAATGCAGGCTTTGCTTGTTGTGTACCGAAAGTTGGTGCATTAAAGAGTGATGTTGATGTACCAAATGTTGGTTTACCAAATATTGAGTTTGTACCAGAGCTAAATGGAGCAGTAGTGGCACTTTGTTGTTGCTGCTGTTGCTGTTGCTGTTGTGTAGCACCAAACAAAGATTCAGTAGTAGCCGTTTGACCAAACATAGCTCCTTGAGCTTGTGGACCTTTACGATTAGCTTGATAATCTTCCCAACGTAACTCTTCCATTGATTTTGTTTCATACTCTTTCATGGCAGTGATACATTGATGTCGAGTACTGATAGTAGTGTTGATATTGTTCTTCAACATTGTATCACTTCCAATTAATGGATTAAATTTGATAGTAGTACCAGGAGCTTGCATTGTATTAGTAGCAGTAGCTCCACTAAAAGGAGTTGTAGCTGAGAATGTGTTTTGACCAAACAGAGATTGTGTGCTTGTTTGAGCGGTATTTGTTCCACCGAAAAGTGATGTTGTAGCAGCACCACCACCAAAAGGAGAAGCAGCTAAATAATGGTAAAAAAATATCAATAGATATATTAATAGATATAATACATATATAGTCATATATAGAATACGGAATTTTGAATATATGTTAAAGAAAATAAGAAGATATTTATGAATTTATGTAAATGAATATCATTTAGATGTAGTGCATGAAATTAGAGTATTAAATAGGAGGTTTAAACAAATGAAAAGATAGGTTACCAGTAGAAGTAGCTCCAAATGGTGTTGTTTGTTGTGTTGTCGATGGTGAACCAAAGAATGGTGTTGTAGATGTTTGCGAACCAAATAAACCAGTACTAGTAGTAGCACCAACACCGAATCCTGTGGCTGGGGCTGTTCTATTGGCTGTAAATGCAGCAGGTTGACCAAAAGTTGATTGCATTCTGTTGGCTGGAGTACCAAAGCCAAATGTAGTCTGAGAGGTTGAGGGTGAATTAAATGGGCTTGTGGTTGAGGTTTGTGGTGTTCCAAACATTATGAAATCTGAGATATATTGATTTTATTACAATAGACTCAAAAATCAAATTAACAAAACTCTCATAAACTCAAATTATAAATTAATAATTAAATTGTAAGAGTATCACTAGAATTAACCTTGATTACAGTCACTTGAAACAGAAACATTAAACCCTCTCACATTTTATTTATAAACAAAAACAAAGTCTAAAGTAAACACACCACATTCGCCAGTAGATGGCGTACACAGCTAAAAAACAAAATTAATCAAATTTCTTTATCAAAATGAATAATTTACTTCTAAAATGGATTGTTATTGTTAATTGATGCAACTTTATACAAAATAAAAGTAATTTAAACGCGTTAAATGTAATAAAATCACACTAATTGGGAATCTCTTGATTTCATCAGCTGATTATTGCGTATTTGTTTTCCTCTTACGTCATCATCAACAAAAAGATAAAATGACAACATTGTTGACAGCAACCTACATTTTTCAATTATTTATACCTTTGTTTGTAGTAATTATTAACTTTCATTTACTTGTGGATTCGTTAAAGCTAAATCAGGACCTTCAAAGTTCTTAGTTTCATCCAAATCATTCATCAACTTTGTTCCTTTTGTTGAAATTGGTTAAAAGCCTATAGATGTTTCTATTCAGTGAAGGTTATTGTTTGAATAATAACATTCCATTCATGTCTGCTCAACTGGTTCCACCTGGTTTTGACCAGATTTGTTCTGAATGAACCTGTTCAACCAATTTTAACCAGTGTTTACCAGATTTAACCAGTTTTAAATTGGGTTTAAACCAGTCAATTTCATGATAGCAAACTAACAATTGTTTCAACCCATTATTTAGACCAACATTAACTAGACTAGTTTTTGTTTTATTGATCATTACCACATTATTGACATTTTTACGAGAAATATTGCCTAAAAATTCAGTTGAATCATCTGTAAGCAATTTACTTGATAAATCTCATCTTTCGTTCACTGATTTAATGTGAAGCTTCATTCGATTCAAGTAACCTTATGTTACTGTTTTTAAAAGGTTTAAAAAGGTTCAGGTTTTAGTTCAAGTTTGATGAATTACAATTATAAATTTATTTTACTCGTATTTACAGCTATTCTTTAGAAACCAATTATAATGACAATAATAGTAAATTGACGACGATTTATGGTACAAATTTATCACTTAATTTGAACAATTATCTTAGAGTTTAATTTAAAGCAATGACTTAAAATGAAAGTTTCAATTAATAAGTAGATTTGTTGTTAAAAAAATATAATTCAAAGGTGAATTAACTTTAACATTAATTGCGAATATTGCCAAATTTTTTAAAATCTACCTCAAAGAGGTTAAAAATTGGTGATGGTAAAAACAAAATGAAATGCTTGCTATGCTAAACATGAAGTTTTCCTTATACAAGCGTAACTAAGTACTTAATATCAGCATAGAGAGATGAGATTTATGAGTAATAAGGAGGAATCATTACCGACTGAGATAAAATCTCAATGCTAATAATATTGTCATCAAGTGGAGAGAAAAATGAATCCAAATAAATCCATTTGAGGTAGTGGATCTAGATTAATTGATTTACTGCTTCATGACATCATTAGAAATAGTAATCTTGAATTGCTTGCCATACTTTTGAGACAATTCAGCTACAAATTCACTCTTCATGATATTCAGACATCTAAATAGAGAGGGGAAAAAAGAAAATTGATTTGTAAAATTAAATATATTTAGGCAAAAATTAATCAAAATTGTAAAGTCTATGACTTACTTTCGATAGATTGAACTCGATCTGAATTTGGCAATGTCGAAACTTGGAGCATGGGGCATGTGAACGATAAATGCGTTGGGTAAAACAATAAATTGGTAGCCGATCGCATGAAGTTGCATTATGTGAGAAACCTTGTTCCAGCCGAACCCAACAAATCGAGAATCGTATTCAACAACATCTTTTTTGACCACGATGTAAGGTTCAAAGTCTTGCTCCCATGAGATCCTATTGATTCAAGATTGGATTGAAAATTGTTAAAAATAATTAAATGTAATGGATATTTGATAAAGGAAAATAATTAGTAATTAAAAGATAGCTTACTTGTAGGGTCGAGTTGCGGTTCTCCATTTTTGGTAATCAGTTGAAGCATGACCTCGAGTCCAAACATGATATCTAAATGTAAATAGAGTTCCCAAATCAAGCATATTAAGGAGATCAGCTTTAGTTCTAGGAAATGAAATACGATAACGCTGAGTTTCAAAAGCTGGAACAACTAAAGCTTTTTTATCATTGGATTCAAGTGCAAGAGCAGCAACAGATCTTTTAAGATATTCATAAAGTCCAAACATAGGCAAAAAATCAACATCAGTAAGAAAAACAAACGGCGTTTTGACTTGACGGAGAGCGATATTCCGAAGATGATTAATAGGATAGAAATCTCCTTCTCGATAAACAATATGATAACCAATATTACGCCTATCTCTTAACACCGGAGAATCCATAATATAGCCAAAAAATTGTTGAACCTCAGAATCTGATATGTAAAGGGATAAGCTGATTGGACCTTCCCAATGTTTACATAAAGATTCAACCATTTGAAGTCTATCCATGGATAACTGGGCTACTAAAGTAACATCATTTCCTTCTGGACTAGGTTCATAATCAAAATCAATGTAATAAAGATGAGTTCGGTACTCGGTAATTGTAGCTCGTCTAAACTCGTAACAAGAGTCATCTTCGTCCAAAGAGTTGATTGAAAGTTGATTATTAGCAAGATTGCTTGTCTTCGGTCTGACTGTGCTTGTAAGATTAGGACATCCGAACAACTCTCGTCTTAGTAGGTTACCATCGTATTCCAAGAAAGTTAAATATAAATTACGAAAAAATTCTAAATGCTTGTTTTTTACTTTCAATTTTTTTGGAGAGTTCCAATGAATAATCTTTAAATCTTGAGCTTCAGTGTAACAAAGTCTTTCAGACAAACTATTATCACTTAGCTGGACATTCCATTGGCATGGTAGCTATAAGCAATCAAATAAAACAAGATCAGTATGAATTATAATTTGGAAAATGTTTTTATCATAAATTGTAATATAGTTGAAATATGATACTTACTTTATAAACAAGGAAAGGGTGTTGTTTAATAACTGTATTGAAAATATCTTGATCAGCTAAAGAAGTTGACAACATTGAGAACAATTCCTTTTCAGCAATCATTTTCCAAATTTGTGACCAGTCAAATTCACGTAATTTATTTAAGCTCATTAAAATGACTCCAGTGTTGAAACCACGACCCAATGCTGGCCAAGGCCTGTGACCTTTCCAAATTTTACCTAAATACCAATCACTTTGATTTTCAACCAAACCTAGAGGTTTGTTTTTCATTTGGGCAAAAAGATTCCATAGTTCGACAATATCGGTTGCAAAAGTAACATCAGTATCGAGAACAATTATTTTATCGAGAGAATCTGAAAAAGAGATAAAATTTAGCATTCTGGTATTGTTAAACTTCTTCTTGATTTTTTTGAAACAGAATAGAATCAAAATAACTGTCATCGTTGAATGATCAAGAAAACTTTCTGCTTACCCGGTAAGGCTTTAGGAAGAACCAGTTTCATTAGTCCATAAATACCGGAATAATGTTTATTGGGAATCCATACGACATCTTTTTGTAAGTCATCCGTGAGATAAAAGTCAACTTCAATTCCGGGAACAGCCCAAGTACGGAATAGATTTTGTAATATGAGACGAGCAACTGAATCAGCAATAAAATGGAAATGTAGAGGATTTTTACGATAAAACAATATCGATTTGATTAAAGTGACAACAGAGCGACTCGAATTGTAACCAGCACAAACAATGGCAATGTCAATAACTTCACATTTGGAGATAGGTGATCCGGAAGACGATGGATTGGAGCATTTATGATCGAGACCATCAGTCCTTATTTCATTTCCTTCATTATTCTCTCTCTTTTTATTGCGATCTGTTTGCGTATTATTCGCCTCCGAAGCATCACCTTTTCCTTTTCTTTGGCCTTTAAGCTGTCTCAGCTGACGTTGTTGATGAGCATCATGCTGAGCAATGTTGATCAATTTGTTTCTAGATAAACTGATGAGAAAAGAAGATGCTATTTTATCTGTTCACAAATAAGAATAGAATGTATTTAATTGAAAATAAATGAATAACATACGTAAGTTGCCTTCGTAAGAGTTGATTTTGTTCTTCGACTTCCCGAACTCTCTCAGCAAGTTTAGCTTCTCTATCATTGAACCCAAGGAAATTTGAGCCAGATCGAAATGTATCTACAATAAAAATAAATGATTATGGATTATTAATCATTGGAGAGCAATGTTTTACTTATTGAATTGAGCAATCTTATCGGAAAAGTTAATTAAATTACCTCTTTGATAGGCGAAGCTGTTGAGAAAATGGTGGTAATAAATAATGAAGCCAGCAGGAATTGCACAAAAAAAGAGAAGACATAGAGTCCAAATTCTTATACTGATTCCATTAATTTTCACTTTGGCACCTTTGCGTCCAGATGAGTATCTTATATTGATCATCCTTAAAAATTTATTCAGCTTGAATCACTTTGCCTCTGATGTAAATAAGAAATAGAAGCTAATGTTATAAACATTTTGGCTTTGGAAATAGGGTCATTTTTTACCCGAAAGCATATTAGCAGCAATCAAATATAAGTTAACACAGCAAGTTAATCAAATTTAAATAAATTAAAAAGAAGATGCATTCAATAAATAGATTGTTAGATATGGATGAGATGAAATGGTCTAAATGTTGAATACTGACTCAATAGCCTAGCAGTGATGCTGAATGTATGTTTTGCAGATAGACTGATCTCATACAATTTCAGAATCTTTTTTAAATGAGAGTTTATAATGATCAAAAAGCAGATTTCATAACAAATTAAATAAGCCATTAATAGATTAAATATTAGTTCAGAGATTTTGACAGTTTGAATACATTGCAAGCAATGACAGAAATGAGAGTCAAAATGAAAACTACTTACTTTTACAGCTGTTTTTAGAAGTGATTCAATGTAAGTAATAGGACTTAAATAAATGATGGGTTTCATCGAGCCACTGGTCAATTTTAAAAGGTGAAATAAATAAAGATGAAATTAAAACAAATGCAAAATTAAACATCACATTTGATTGAATTAAAGATTTAAACAAACGACAACATGATACCAAATATCTGATACATTCATCGGATATAGGATTAGATACTGTTAGGTAACCAAAACAACAGTAAAAACAAAACAAAATTCAAAAACAGTTCAACCAACAGTTAAGTTAACCATGAATGGATATTTATCATCAATTTGTTGATTGAAAAAGCATTCAGTAAATATTAATCTAAATGTGATTACTAATAATTTTTAACATAATAAGTTTTCTTCATGTTAATGGGATAAATACAATAATTGTTTGTTATGTATAATGTTGAACTATGAATGAACGTTGAAACCAGGACAGTCAAATGTCTCCCGACTTACAACTTGTTAGTTGTTGCTTTACATAATAAAGGGTCAATCATGTATGGAATCCAATCCAAAGTGATAATCCAATCTTCAAATGGTAACCGAAAATCAATTTGGTCCTTCCATTGAATTTATTTGAATCATTTTGTTGCAAGTTGAACATATTCACTCTAAACCGGATCTCAATTCATCATGAAGTGATAATCTGAAAACAGCAATATCAATCCAATCATTATATGCTAAAACATCAACAAAGATAGTTAAAGGTGCATCGGCACAATGCAAAAAAACGATAGATACCACGCCGTAAATAAAGGTTTTATTAGTTTTTGGATTTTCCCAAATTAAAGGTCCACCTGAGTCACCTAAACATCCAGCTGAGCCCACGCCATTAATAACGCAAAGACTGTAACCTGGTACGAACCGCCAAGGTGCTTCATCGAGGCAATCTTCATCATCAAGCCTGAATACAGTCGCTTCTCTTAATCTATATGGAGGATCACCACTTTCAGTGGCACCATAGCCCATCATCTTAACTGGAAAGCAAATATGAAGTGGTAAGACGGGTCGAAAAATTATTGCACCAGGTTGAGGATGAGGTTTGTCCAAAAGTACAACAGCAATGTCATCTTTAGCAGTTAGCCATGGGACAGAACCATAATGTGGATGCTTCTCGTAGGCTTCAATTTTGAAGACTAGATCTCTAGGTAAAATTAGCGGTGTATTTCGATAGTTGGGTAAAATGCGAATAAGTGGAATAAGTGTGTCACTGAAAATGGGTAAGAATATTAATGATTGTATGCGAGTAAATTATTTAAAACTTACTTCATGAGACAATGAGCTGCTGTTAACATGATTCTCGGTTCTATTAATGATCCACCACAGTTGTGATGGTATCCATTTCTCGGGTTTCCGCCCCGTGGTATTTGAATAGAAAGAAAAAAAGGATATGCGCCTTCTTCGTAAACATATCGACCCCAAGCAATTCTTTCGTAGTATTCTGTTGATTCCTCGAACTCTGTTGATACAAAATTTGAATATAAAAACATCATCAAAATTGCACTGTTAATCATTTCTGATTGGCTTTACGAATTTCACATTCGACAGTTAAAAATCAAAGATTAATAATGAAATGTGCAAATGATCCGAGTCTTAATTAAAGTTAAAACTAAAATCAAACCAATACAGCACTCGGCTAAAACATATTGATTCATTAATGTTAAATAAGTTAAGTTTAAAAAGTCATAAATATAATATCTATCCAGATTGATTGAAGGCGGTAACATAAATTTTTTATTTAAATGTGAAATCACAGAAATTAGAAGATGATTTTCTTTCTGTAAATTATATTATACAAATTGTATTTCTAAGCTGTTACACAATTAAACACAAGCTAAAACTATTTGGGAGCAAATATCACTAATAAGTTCCCAAACCCGTATTTGCTCGCTAGATAGAAGTATTCAAAAAGTTTTTTCAATAAGCAATACACTTTTCCCTTGAGTTTTGTTACACTGCAGATTCGAATGCTAACCCAAGCAGTCTTGCTGTTGGCTAGCAGTCTCGTATGCGTTAACTACTAGGCAACACATGCGATTAATAAAATACCGATCAAAGCATCCCAGGTTTCACATATCATGTGGCAATCAGGAATCAAAATTGAAATACTGTTTACTCAAAAAATTTGCAACAACAGTTATTTCAGACCAAGAATTGTTAACCTTTATGCTACTTTTCATGCCCAAAGATGGTACAATAGTACTTTCAACACTTAAGAATAAAGTCAACTACGCTCTTGAGATTTTCTGATAGAGAAATTGGTCCATAGGCAGCATGTAACCGTGCGTGTTAGTTAGAACTACTAGTATTTTAAATAGCACAGTTGGACTCACAATTGGACTCAGTTTCTAACATCAATATTAGTAATACATGAGTGAAGTTCTGATTTTCCCTCATTTCATTTCATAAACGTTTCTTCTTTAGAAAGATGAATGAATGTTTATCCGTTCATTGAAGGGTTAGTGAACAAAGATCAACAAAAGGTAGATATTAATACTTGAGATGAAAAGGCTTTCATTCTTACCTTAGGTTGTTCTTTGGACTATCAACCTGCATACTAGAAGTAGCTAATTAAATCAACGATTACTGGTGATTGAATGTTGAAACCAGGGTTAGTAGAATGTCTCCCAACACAGATAGCGCGAATGAGGCGAAAAGATTACACAAGTATTCAACAGATATTAGATGCAATTTGGCTTTAATGTTCATTTGTACAATTACATAATATTAATAGATATTTACAAAGCTAATGTTGGAACAGTGTACAACAATTTGTTAAATTTTAGTCCACATTTTGTATTGCTCAATCCACAAGTTCAATGTTACATAGCTCTTATCAAAGCACGAGTTAACAAGTGCGCCTTTCAATCAAATGCTAGCGTTAAGTAATAAAAACTCTCAAGTGGAGTCACTAAAGTGTGAAACTCAGTACCAGTGCTTGAACATTGCATTGTAAAACAGAGTGACATTAACCTCATGGATAAAGTAAGGGTATGGATTATAATATACAGATATTTTTAGATTGCATTCGACTACATTAGCATAAGATCATAGTTGCGAATCTCCCAACAATCACTCAGTTTCGATCGATCGTAATATTTACAATTTAATAGGTTATCTAGTGTATGATCGTATTGAGCCAGTTCGACTGTAATCACGCTTCTCTTCAGGTTTAAAGATCTTTTCACAGATGATGGGAAGGATGAAACAAGTAGCCACTTGCATAGAGGACAAGATGCCTAGGTAGTAAGTAAAGTAGACTTGGTTTTTGACCATAAGTTGAGTTAGAATCCAAGGATGAATAGATTCACCGGTGACTCCGATAATGAATATACAGGATGCATTACGATTAGAAAGGAAAAAGTATTTTTGTAATGTGCTCAAAGAAACGGTGAATGTTGGCGAATATCCACCTCCAAGAAGTATTAGTCCAACCCAAATGCAGACTCGGTAAGTAGCGGCATGAGGAGCCATCACAAACGCGCTAACTATTACACACAAGTAGGCGCAAATCATGACATATCTTTCCTTGAAATAATTCAACAAACCAATATGAACATATCTATAAAATGTGAACACTGCCCAGAAAACAGTTACAAGAGTAGCACCTTCAGATTTACTCATATGAAGACCAGATTTAACGACGAAAGCAGGTCCTAAGGAGCCTATTGGCATGAGAGACAAAAGCGATTAAAACGATAAGTTAATAAGTTAATAGATTGATAAGTTAATTGCTTTTAGATACAATTTATAGCTTCTCTTACCGACTAGTGTTTGCAACCCAAATGAGCAATTAGCAATGAAAGCAACGACTCCGATGCAAAGGTAACGTTTCCAACGAGCCGAATCATTATGTATAACAACCTCTTTATTAGAAGCTGAATCAGCTTTTTTAGCAGCCTTGTCTCGAAAGTGAAATAACAAGAAACCAAATGATGAGGACAAGAGGACAACTGCAATAATGAGAAAAGCGTATTGAACTTGCACATCTTCTGGCGAATAGGTTGCAAATATTTCATCGTCGGTTAACGTTTCGTTATCCATCGTCACAGGTTCAGTCAACAGGAAGGCTTTGGTAAGCAATGGAGTCAATAAGCATCCAATACCATAAGATGAGTGCAATATTTGAATGTAATTAGCTGCTTTGGATCCCCAAACGTTGAATGAGTAAGTGTTTACGACTGATGGTGAGAGCAATAGATTTAATTAAACGGACTGAAAATGGCAAAATAAAGATCATTGTGATTATGCAATTTGCATCATTGTCTTCCTCATTCGCTCTCAGTGTATCAAAATTTTCTCAATAAAAGACGGGTTTAATGCTCATTGAGCAAACAAAAATTAAAAGTCAATCACTCACATTGTCTCAAACGAGCTTAACTTTATATTGCATTGTAAAGTTTAATGGTTAAAACTAGTCTAAAGGCTGATTGCAAGGAAAATTTTAACAATTTTGTGTCAGCAAATCGATCGGTTGCATGAATGAAAATTAACTTACATATATCGAGAACACCTTGAGAAACTCCAGATAGCAAGAAGCACGTATAGATGGACCAATAAGAGTAAAACCAAGGAGCAAGGCCAATCAATATAGCAGCGGTTGAGTTGGCGAAAAATAAGACCAGATTAGCATCCAATTTAGCTTCGACAAGACCAGCTAAAAGAAAATAAAGAGTTGGCGAATCAATAATTGGCCATCTTTTTGCAATTGAATTATTTACCAATGACACCTCCAAACATGTAACCAATGGCACGACTAGGAACCAAACCAGTTACTTTATCGAAAGGTTCTCTAACACGAATCTGAATGTCTAGTAAAGATGATCCAAGAAGAGTACTGCAGCCACCAAGACTCATAAACGTGATGAAACAAAAGGCAGTTTTGATCAATTGTATTCTGTACAATTTGAGGTACTCGATGAAATTCATGTTGATGGATAACTTGTTGATGAACTATTTCAACTTAATGCAAGTAAAGTTGGTTGTCTTTTCACTGGATTTCAAGAAGATTTTAATTTATAGTTGATTTACAGCTCTCTCTAGTCGTAGTTTCGTTTAACTTCATGGACTCACTCGAATGATGGCAATCAAATGGTTTCTTTGGGAAGTTACTATTGAATAATCTCAGTCAGCTGACAATCAGTGTAGTCAACAGTAGGAAGCACAATTAACTGATGGATTGCATATTCAATCAAGTAAAGCAGAAATAACAGATGATAAAAGTACATAAGACCACATCAAAAAGTCAAAGTGCAGAAGATGTTTGATAAAATACGAGTTGATTAAGATTTGCGTTTTTGACATTAGCTAAAAATTAAAAATCTAACGATTCATCTTATGAATATTGGACAAAATACAACAAATATCTTGTGAATCCATTCATCCCGACAGTCTGCAATTCTGATCGGTAAGCTAATAAAGCTTTTTTGTTAGATCACTTGACTGTCAAAAACAATGTCTGCTCTTAAATTATCAACAACAATAAGAAGGAGACACATACATATGTATTATTAATATAACACTTGATTATGATAAAGAACTGATCATTAAAAAGTTGAGTGCAAGTCAAGTATTCACATGTTTGATAGCGTTCAAACCCTTTTGAATGAAGTTGAGGCAACTAAAGTCAGATATGATACAACACCGAAGTTTATCCGGATAAATCACGTTTCAACTCAAACTTACTTGAACCATCAACAGTTTCCACTCGTTTTTTCCTACACTTGCCAGTTTTATGGTTACAGTATGCGATTAATCTAACCTTTGAAGCAATTAATAGATGGATCAAGTGTAAATCCAAAACCATTATATCCTAATGGGCAACAAAAAGATCCATTGAAGATATAATTGCAAAATAGTTACATTAGCATTACAATGGAATACGATTTCAACTGTTGCTAACAGTTAGTTTTACATGTACATGATCATCAATTGTAAATCTTATTGATTACCTTCTGATTTAATCTTGGCAATGTTTTCAGTGTTCAAAGTTAAACACTCGAGTCGATCCAATCAATCCAAGAGATCAATAAACACTTGGTAATTCAATCTTTATTGTGAGTTAATATTAGCAAACTCTTGAAATAATTATGTTTATTGATATTTGTTTTTTAAATTTGATTTTTATTTATAGCAACATATCGTCAGCAATTAACTAAAAACGTGCCACAGGGAAGACAAAAGAAGACAATTTATTAATATTATGATAACTAAAAATGTAAGTAAGTCAATATTTCAGCAGATTTGTGAGTAACATCCATAAATTTAATTGCCACTGTGATGTTAGGAGTCACAATTTTCTTAAATGTTAATATGATCTAATTATAAGAACATGTGAGCATCATGAATGGAGCAATTAAACAGCTAATAAACTTAATCAGACAGTAACAAAGTGTTGAATCATCAATGATTAAGACGAAAACTGTACAGTTTCACAATCCATAGTAAGTTTCAATTTCACTCGATTTGCTGCTGGATTTACAGAAGCTGCTGTTGGTCGCTGTAAATTGACGAGTTTTTTCCAGAACATCATCTTCATCCAGCTTTGGCATATGCTTTTCCTGATATTATATGCATTTATTTGAACATTTTATTGCTGTTGAATTCAAATTCCATCAAAATCGTAAATTTCCATTCCATTTCTTCTACTGCTCAGGAGGTTGTAATCAAAAGCTGTGTGATCCGGAATAGTACAGTGTTTAGGATAGTAATTGTGACGTTAGAAATCATAATTCTTTGCATGATATAAACTTGAAATTGAAAAAAGTTTTTTTAAATATCATTCAACTTGGAGTATTAATAATCGGTACAAAAATTTTTCCTTCCGAGTTAAGAGTTGAGATTTTGTGGATTTTTAGAGGGCATGAAGACTGAGTCTATTAAAAAATTTCTTCGATTGACCGTTTTTGAGAAAATCGAGATCAAATTTCAACTTGGGTCACCTTTTGTACAGTTATTGAAATAGATTTTTTCATTTTTCTGATTTGGTTTTCGATGGCCAACTAGAAAAGCTACTCATTACGTGATATAAAATTTTGTGTTTTGGCACAACAGATTACTTTGATTTTCCATCAAGCCTGGCACTTCGAGTGACCGTAAGAGCTATAGCTGAGGCTAATTTTGGTCGGGAAAAATTATTTGTGCAAATCAACAATCGAACACTTTTTTAAATTTATTAAGAGTTTTCTTGATTTTGGCCATTGGCTTTAAAACCTTGAACATTGATGTCTCGAGAACGGTAGCACTTACAGTCACCATTCTTTCAACATTTATCAGATTATTATTTCTTATTATATTATTATGTGCTATTACGCATGCATATAATATAATATGTGCTATTTATTATATGGCAAATTGAAAATATTTTCAGTCTTACTTCTGCATTGATACCCAAATTGATAAAATAATATTGCTAAAAGCAATCAAGCAGAAAATAATTTCCAAGAAAAGATTTTATTTTATTTGAAAATAAACTGAATTCAAACAGTAAAACCGAAACAAGTATTTTTGCGTCAAGATTGTGGCTAAACTGAGCGGGTTCCAAGAAAAAAATTACACAGTCTGAAAGCCCTGGTTCAACTACAACGCCGAAAAATAGAAAACCTAACCTCAGAATCTCATGACCTCTGAGAAATTCATGAAAATAGAGAATGGGGGAAAAACTGTAGAATCCGTATCCAATAACATTGAGAGAGGGGGAAAAACTTTTTTTTTATTCAGGTTTATTGTTGATTGTTGATCAGGATTTATGTAAAACTTTGTCATTTGAGTAAAGAGTAAAGAGGTGTCCGGCTTTTTCCACCACTTTTTTCCGCCACATTTTCAAACAAATTTTTATAAGATTATCTACCACCCAGAACTAAGATTCTTGAGAAAATTATTTTCATTTTTATTTTTTTTAATTAACCACCTTAATTAATTTATTTGTTGACCACTTTTACACCATCTAACACATCCACTATTAATCACCAAAGTGGTCAAAAATCTGGTGGATTTGGGTAGGGGATGATCTTATATAAAAATTGTTTCAAAATGCGTGTGAAAAAAGCCACTCTAAAGTGATGGACAATACCGTGAAAAGACGGTTAGCATGGGTGGTAAAAGAAATTTACGATCAGTCATGATCGTGCCTCAGCTTGTAAACAATTAACTTCAATTAGAAACAATGCGTCTGGTAGTTTTTGTTGTGCAACATTGGTATAAATTGTAATTCGTTAAGGTACTAACGTATTTTTTGTAGTATTAGGAGTATCAAAAAGTCTCGAGATTTCATGTTTTTGAGTTCACTTTCGGAAACTATTTAAGTAAGTAAAGTAGTTTAGTTTATTAATCCTTCAGACATGAGAGGAAAAAATTGTAACTCTCATCATAATTTTTGTTCATTTTGCCCCATGTTTAAATACTTTCTTGAATCATCTTCATCTATCTATTCAATCAGTCATAATCTTGAACAACATGCTGTGTGCACAAGTGCTTTTTGATAATTCAAGATTTATTTCTCCTACTATAATATTATTTGTTTGCTCCTAGTTGAATCTTTATTAGGTTTTGAATATTAAAAAATTGTTCCAATCACATCGATATGAATCAAATATGGAAATGGGATTGAAAGACTTTTTGTGTCTTAGGTTGAGCAAGGCTCGTATTTTAGCATCATTGACTTTTATAATTTTAAAGTAGCCCAAGATGTCGAAAAGTTTATCTAGCCAGATAATCAGCAATAAAATATCAATTGATAATCAAAAGTTTATCTCGATATTACCATGTAAACAATATCAACTCATCTTTATGCTTGTTGATACAAGGTCTCCTTGAATCCGTCTTTATCATTGAACTAAATAAATAATAGATGTCAATGTTAATTTTTGCCTCCATCGAAGTTTCGAAATTCATTTATGCACCAAGAAACAATTGATAAATCTGATGATCTATTACATTTTAAATGTACAGCTGCTGTAGGGGAACAATTAAAGTTTATTTAATTCGTGAAAAGAGCTTGATTAATGGGAATACAAACTTGTCTAACAAATAACTTGAAAGAAATAATTTTTATTGCTGTTGAATTGAAATTGCATCAAAATCGTAAACTTCAATTGGACTTCTTCCATTGCTCAGGAGGATCAGAAGGTTCTAATCAAAAGCTGTTTGATCCGGAATAGTGCAGTGGTTTTGTCAATTTGCGTCCATGCTTTCGTTTGTTCCAAGTAAACTCTTGCAAAGAAAAAATATTATTGAAGAAACCCTGTAAAAGAGTAATTGTAAGATGGTAATTCCAGCGATAAATGACTTTAACAAGTGTATAAAATGATAGGTAATCCATTATCAAGCATTATTCATGATATAATCTCAGCTTAGGTCTTTCACAAATGAATCTGTGTGAATACTTGAAGACAAATAGAGCTAAGCTCATTAAGACATTTTTTTGTTATGTTTCCTTTTTTGGTTTGGGTGGTTGCTGTACACTTTTAGGTTCATCGTTACTTGATTTATCAATCAGTCTAAATGCAGAGTTCAAGGAAGTGTCCGGCTTGGTTCCAAGTCGATCAATCGGTTACATTATTGGTGCAGTATTGTGTAAGTATTAGCATATCAAACAATCCCTCTTGGTTTGGGTTTCCCGCAAAGTTTTTATAAGATAACTCTTTACTCTGATGACTAGCAACTCGTTAACAATTAAACATTTTTCTTGTTTCTTTATTTACGAATCATGAAGCTGGTTTTGTTGGTAAATTTGCTGGACCTGACTTGATTTTATTTTTGACTAATTTAACTGCTGGAATATTCATTGCCTTGGCTCCATGGTTTAGGCACTTTGCAGTCATCTATACTTGTCTACTTTTATCTGGAATCTCTCAAGGAATCTTCGATATTTGTAAGTAATTCTGATTCTAACTCAGTATCGCAAGTCTCTCTGATTAACTCTTTTCTTGTATTAATATTAATAGTTACAAACACTTACACTCTTGCTATTTGGGGAGATAAGGCGACTAATTATGTTCAAATATTGCATGGTTCCTTTGGTCTAGGATCACTTCTAACTCCATTATTGATCAAACCTTTTTTATTGCCGTTGGCTCAAAACGAAGGAAATGAAACACAAAGTGATGCATTTCTTGGTGATTACACTCCGGATGATGTTATAATTCAATATCCCTTTATTGTTGTCGGCGTTCTACTGATTTTCGCATCAAGCGGTTTCTTAGTATTTCACTTCAAAAGAAAATCTTCAGAGAAAGATAAACAATCGGTTGATGTAAAGCCTGAGGTTGATCATCCAAAATGGAAAATAGTTGTCTCTTTGACAGCCTTGGCATTGATAGCTCATACGACATTTGGTGTGGAAACTTTAATCGGTATGTTATGCATAAAACAGCGTAACAACGGTAGTTTGATTCATTAAGTTTCTTTCGTTTGTTCAAGATTAATTCTCGTATTACGATATTCTCTTATATCTTGAATTAGGTTCCTTGGCTCCTTCATTTGTTGTCATCTCAGATCTCAAGATGAGCAAACAAGATGGTGCTAATATGGTCACAATGTTCTGGAGTCTTTTTACATTTTATCGACTATTCTTCATCGCAGCTACAAGTTGTATAAAAGAGCGTTACATGATGTACTTCAATTATTGTATCTTGATAACGGCCATTGTTATGATGTGTATAAGTGGAGCTTATAATCAACTTATTGCATGGATATCCATCGGTCTCCTTGGCATCGGGTTCTCACCAACGTTCTCGGTGTCACTTGGTCTTTTGCAAAAATACATAAATATTTCCAACAAATATGCTTCTTTCATTTTCATCACAGCGGCTGTTGGGGAATCAATCCACCCTTGGATTGTGACAAAATTTATGGACTCAATGCCTGCATTTTTCATTTACTATACGGCAGCTGTATCTTTTGGTCAATTAGCACTGTGCTTTATTTTACCCTTCATTCTTAAATCAATCTTCAGAAAAGATATTAAGTTTCCTCTTGATAGATCTGCTTCAATCAGATCAAGTCAACGATAAAGCATTTGTAAAAATTTGTAACCGTTAAGTTCCCTTTCGCATTTGAAGAGAGTTCATTTCAACTTTTAACCTAATAGAAAGATTGTGGGGTAAGATGATTGAGCGAAAGACATTTAAGCAAAAATTTAATCTCAATTAAATCTATTCAAAAAATTTTTGCATTTAATGCATTGATTAATATTGGAAAACTGAGCGCGTGATAACCAAAATTACTTATAAATTAGCTTATTCGGTAACAGTCTGGATCTGAGAACAAACGTTGGGCTTCAACACATGTTTAATATTTCACACTTTTGTTAACCAATGGTATTGTAATAGAACATCTCATTAAGTAAACAAAGTGACTTACTTTAATAGACTTTAAGTATTGCTTGAGTAATTTTAGTAAAATTTTTATATGTGTTCAATTGACTTAGATTTGCGTAAGAAGAGGATTTTTGAAGTAACCAGCAATCAACTCAATCATAAGCTTGAACTTCATATTGAGACTTTTACCTTCAAAATACGTATATTTAAAACAATTAATTTAAGCAAGCTTCCTTATTAGTTGCTCTTGACTCTTCTACTATATAACCAAGACTCTCTAAGTCCATCTATCACCCCATTTGTCCGTCATTGCTCATTACTCGTCCTTAATAAGGCGTATGATATTTTATTTTTTGTGTTTAATGATATTTAATTTGTGTTAAGTTTTATTATAAGGAGGGCTCCAGAAATCTAAGTTTTTGTTCAACATATCTAAATCCTCTATCCAACACGAAGATATCACCCTGTTTCAAATTTTTTTGGATGAATCACTACGCCTGAGCTCTGACATTATACTAGAGTCATTTTTGGAAGCTTCGTATGGACCTGTAACTTCTAAAATACATCCGTCAGTAGCAATAATCACCATTGGCTTGAATAAGTTCCGGTACTTGTGAGGTAAATAAGATGCTCTTTGGAACGGAAAATTGGCACTTTTTTGGTGATCCACATACGTATCATCACAAACAGCAATCATTTTTCTTGCTCTGAGCCCGCAAGCAGACCGGTGACTATTCTTTTATTGTGCGTCAGCGCATCTGCTCTTCCAATATTATCAAAGCCAATGTATTTTGAGAAACTAAAGAGTTTCCTTTGACTAAAAGCATGAGTTTGATGAAAATTAACTTTTCCAATTGGATCATCTGTGATATCGCAATTTTTTTCCTTCTTTAATCTATACAATTCATCAACGCTTACATTTTTTCCAACCAATAAAAATGAGATTAGCGGTTGAAAGTTGAAAACTCAAACTCTTGATTTGAAGGCATGCAGGTGCTATTAACGATTAAAGTTATTCTTATCCTCTTATAAGTTCATTCAACTCTTCTATGATGTTTGAAATTGAAGTTTATTGTAGTGATCGCGACATTGTGTTTCGAGTTAATGACCTAGAAAGCTCAATTAGGTCGCAGATTAAAAGCTTGGATAAACCTGCTGATCTGGATCTTATTATTGCGTCGCCTGATGATGAAAGTCAAGAACCGATGGTTTATAGAGATGAACAAAACTTTTCCAGCAAGTTGTTTCATTGAGGCAAATACAAATTGGGAATCGCAATCCAAGAAAAAGTTGAATCTAAATGTAGAATTTTCATTTTTACTGTTAGAAATAAATGAAAATGATTTTGTTAGATTTTGCAATATCTCGAAAAAAGCTTTGATTTATTTTCGTATTAATGTATAAGGGTAATAATGGATCCTTCTTGATGTATTCCAAGCATTATTGTATCCTATCATCGACTTTTAAATTTTTCTATGGGATTTAATAAGGAGTTTTCGCTTGCGATTTTTCTGTTGAATAATAATATATTCTGAAAATATTGAGAATCACTTTTATTGAGACCCATGTCACAGTGATGCATATTGATTTCAAGGGGCTGCGATGCGCTACCGGCCAAAGCGGGACGTTTGTCTGTATATTTTTGATGCAAGATAATTCATCAACGAAACATTGTAGAGGCAATCTAGAAAATGCGTTCGATAGGCCTTGTTAAGAACTATTAATAACCTAAGATACAGCTTCGTGCTAATATCAATAAGGACTCAAATGACACAAAAAGTCGGCAACTTTGACATTGAATAACTTGAAAACGATTAATCACAAATGAAAATTGTTATTATTTTTGAACTCAACTTATTAAATTCTACTTAGAAAATGAGCATTGAGAGCATATTCACTCTCTTTGTCCGACTGCAAAAATACAGACTGATGGACCTCTCGATAAAAATTGATTGATTTCTTCATACATTTGCGATTTCTGCCTTCCTTTTTCTTCTAAATTATTTGCTTTGATTTCACTGGCTTTTTTGTCAATTTTATTTTTTGTATTTTCTTTCAACTTTGAATTTTAGATTTTTGTTATTTCAAAGAATTTTTTGACTTAAAATCTCTTTTCTTTTTTTCATTCGAAAAAGCAGATTTTTTACTCAGATTCCGCTACCTAACAAAACCTCCTCAGTAGGACGGTGGTGGTGGTCTTATTATGCTATCATACATGCTGTTCATGAATTCAAACGAGTTCTTTCTCTCAAACTTTTTTTTCTCAAAAAAAGTGCATTTTCTGGTTGGCCATCAAAAGTTACATGAGTTTCATGAAAAAATCTTGTTCCATTTTTGAACAAAAGGCGATTGAAGTTTCAACTTTGGCCTAGTTGCTCTCGGAAACTGTCGAGAGAATTTTTAATGGCACTAATGGACTCATTTTTCATGTCTCTAAAAACCCACACTCTCCCAACTCTTAACTCGAAAGTCAGATTTTTTACACATACCCCTTAGTTTGAAAAAAAATCTAGCGGCATTTTTCCTGTTCTTAGTCCACATGCTAAAGGAGTCTGAGATGTCGAACAGTTTATCTTGCTAGATGATGTGCAATCAAAAATCAATTAATGATCAAAAATTTATCCAGATGATGTGATTATAAACGTTTCAATGATGTAATACCTCGATATTACCATGTAAACAATATCAACTCATCTTTATGCTTATTGTCAAGGTCTCCTTCAATCCATCTTTATTATTAAACCAAATTGATATTAATACATTTCAACGTCAATTTTTGCCTCCATCGGAGTTTATAAGTTTCGAAGTTCATTTTGTTTGCACCAAGGAACAAACGAAACAATTTTAGTGTACCAGTAAAATCTAATGTCAGATTGCACATGTATAGCTGCTGTAAGGGAACAATCAAAGTTGATTCAATTTAACAATTAAATCTAGTCAAGAAATTATCAATGGCAAATTGCTAATGTACAAACTTTTCTAAGCATGCAACCCTTTGTCAACTTCTTTCCTCTAGCTTTTGGTGCTTTCTTTTGCTCCAAAAAGACTAGCAATAATAATCATTGGCGAAACGCTGTAAAATTAACTCGTAAAATGCTAATTTTATGAGCGATAAACGACTTTAACAATTGTATAAAAGGAAAGGTAATCCAATTACCAGCATTATTCTTAATACAATCTCCGCGCTGTTTATCCAAAAATGAATCCGTCTGAATACTTGAAGAAAAATCGAGCGAAGCTCATCAAAACATTTTTCTGTTATGTTTCATTTTTCGGTTTGGGTGGTTGCTGTAACCTTTTAGGTTCATCATTACTTGATTTATCAATAAGCCTGAATGCAGAATTCAAGGAAGTATCCGGCCTGGTTCCAAGTCGATCGATTGGTTATCTTATTGGTGCAGTGTTTTGTAAGTATCACAACATTATTTCGTAGCATGTCAACAATCCCTGGTGGTTTGGTTTCTCTGCAAAACTTTCCTGTGGCTATTCTTTACCACTAACAATTAAACATTTTTCTTGTTCCTTTATTTACGAATCATGAAGCTGGTTTTGCTGATAAATTTGTTGGACCTGATATGGTGCTATTTTTAACCAATTTCACGGCTGGAATATTCATTGCCTTGGCTCCATGGTTTAAACAATTTGAAGGCGTCTATGCTTGTCTACTTCTATCTGGAATCTCGCAAGGAATCTTCGATATTTGTAAGTATCCTGATTTTAATGCAGTTTCGTTAGTCTCAATTTTTTTCGTTAACTTTTCGTAATGTAACTTTTTTCATGAATAGATACAAATACTTATACCCTTGCTATTTGGGGAGATAAGGCAACTAATTATGTTCAAATATTGCATGGTTCCTTTGGTCTAGGAGCACTAATAACTCCGTTAGTGATCAAACCATTTTTATTACCATTGGTTCAAAACGAAGGAAATGAAACTCAAAGCGATGCCTTTCTTGGCGATTACACGCCAGATGATGTTATGGTTCAATATCCCTTCATTATTATCGGCGTTCTCCTGATTTTTGCATCAATTGGTTTCTTAGTATTTTATTTCAAGGAAAGATCCTCGGAGAAAGATATACAATCAATTGATGTAAAATCTGACGTTAACCATCCAACTTGGAAAATAGTTGTCTGTTTGACTACTTTGGCATTGACAGCTAATGTAACATTTGGTGTGGAAGTTTTAATCGGTATGTTTTACATAAGAATGTAACAAACTGTAGTTTGATTCATTCAGTTTTTTCATAACAGACTAACTCTAGTATTTCGATATACTCTGATATCTTGTATTAGGTTCCTTGGCTCCTTCATTTGTTGTCATCTCAGATCTCAAGATGAGCAAACAAGATGGTGCTAATATGGTCGCAATGTTCTGGAGTCTTTTTACATTTTATCGACTATTTTTCATCGCAGCTACAAACTGTATAAAAGAGCGTTACATGATGTACTTCAATTATTGTATCATGATGACAGCCGTTGTTTTGATGTGTATAAGTGGAGCTTATAATCAAACCATAGCATGGATATCCATTGCTCTTCTTGGTATCGGGTTCTCGCCAACATTTTCAGCGTCACTCGGTCTTTTGCAGAGATACATAAATATTACCAACAAATATGCTTCTGTCATTTTCATCACAGCGGCTGTTGGGGAATCAATCCACCCCTGGATTGTCAGCAGATTCATGGACTCGATGCCCGCAATTTTCATTTATTACACAGCAGCTGTATCTTTTGGTCAACTAGCATTGTGCTTTATTTTACCCTTCATTCTTAAGTCAATCTTCAGAAAAGGTATCAAGCTTCCTCTTGATAGATCTGCTTCAATCAGATCAAGTCAACGGTAATGGATTTGTGAAAAATTGTAATCATTGAGTTCCTTCAGGCATTTCGTTAGAGTTTATTTAAAACTTTGAAGTAATCTTTCGCTGATGTACAATTGTAGCTGAACCATCCGTTCCCTATTATCGCGTATTTGGAAAGAAAATTTTTAATTGAAAATAAAAAACGACTTTTCATCGCACGTAAACATATTAATGTCTTATTTTCCAGTTTTTTTAACATTTAGCTGTCATAGCCGCTAAATGTCAGAAAGCGAATCGAAAAATTCTGAGGGAAAAAGAGTGCCTCTCAATATTATTATTTTCGAATATTTTACCATCTTCTTCATCAGGTGGATCGTCAGTGGGGTTACCTACTTTAGGCACATTGTCAAATAAAAATAAAATCTTTGGTAAAAGTTTTATCATTTCAGAAATGCATCGTAAAATATCATACAAGGGACTTTTGCCCCATTCATTGCATATAATACTTTCACACATGCCAGTGTAACATTCAAAGATTAATTTATCGCAGGTTGTCAGTATAAAACAAGATGAACATTAATCTTGTTCGGCCTTGGCCTTTGCTTCACATCCAGATTGTTATCCAGACTATCAATCGATTGCGAAGGAGCGAAATCTCATGATACGAGCTCAGTTTTAGCAAATATGGGAAAGTTAAGCCACCAAAAGGCATGATATCAGCACCAATAAAAATACATATCTCTAGACTTCACTGTGTTTAACAAGCAGTTAGCTAAGAAGCAATTAAAATTAGTGAGTGTCAATGATTAAATAATATATAAATTGCCATTATTAATCTTCTGTTGATCTACTAACTCCACTGTCAAGTGATTCACCAATTACCATCGGAGACAGGAAACCTGCAGTAGAAGAAATCGTGTTACAAATGTCAAAAAGACTAGGAGGCTTCAGAAACAGTTGGTCAGTCGTCTGCTGCTTGAATCCTCATGAAATAAATGAAACAACCATCAAAGCAAGGATTAGAGCTGAATTCTGTCTGATGAATGGTGCTGTCACGTGAAGTGCACGTGAAAACGAAGCTTAATTGCGCACATTTGAAATACAAAATGTAGATAATTAGTAGACAAATACGAAACGAACCATTAAAAGAGAGTTAAACAATACATATTCGAGAAACACAGTGGGTAAGATGTTGATCAGTGCAAAGAGAATAAATTAGAGTTTTTAGATATAAACTGCAATGTATGCCAAAGAACTAAAAGAACAGTCAAATCCATACCAAGTTCAGATTCGAGATAAGTCGAAATGTTATCGTTGACAATCTTAGTGCCAATAACCAAGCATTCTTCAACATATGATTGGCCAAATTGAAATAGAGTTGAAGATGAATAGTCAAGGTACTGACACCTTTGACATTGTGTTGGTATAAAAGAGAGTATGAATATGAAATTCAGACATGACTGATGCAATAGTCTGGAAGGTTGAATTCATTCTAATCTTAACATAAGAAAAATTTGAATTGGCTTCATTCATGTAATCAATCTTGCATTTAGATATGGCTGTGGTTGCCGTGAATTAATAGTGCCTTTTGTGATGGAAGATAAGTTTATACAAAAGTTGAAAGAAATTGCAGCATACAGTAAACCTCGATTTTTATTACAAAAAGAGCCAACTAATACTGAAAAACAACATCAAACAAACAAAAAAGTTTGAATGTGTTTGATAAACACAAAATTGCATCCGGAGTTTAACACCAGTGAATTAAAAATGGTTATTGCTGAGTGAGATGTGAGGTTCACTGTTATGACAGTTAATTTTGATGATTAAACGTGAGAGTGTTAACGCAAAGCAAGATTATTGAATGCTGAATATTGCTTATTGAGCTCTGAAATAATTGAATTTTTATCGAGAAAAAATGATTGTTCAAAAATGTTTATAATTCTGTAATAACGTGTCATACAATGATGCCATCATTATACATTTCGTTAATTATTGTTTTCAACTTGATAGCATGTAATAATTTAAATTCAGCTTGATAACTTGATGACAATACAAAGAGTTTACAATAATCTAATCTTTTAGGCAATTATTGGAAAAATTGACTACATTAGTAGCAATTAATAAATAAAAGTTTTGTTGAACACTTGATATCAATGTGAACAACAAGTTCGCGAATCGTGCACTTGTTTTCACATTTTAAATGTCACATATGAAATAAGGAAATTATGTTTAACCAACTCAGAGCACAATAACCACCAGTTCATTGGAACTATTATTCTGTGTATCGGAACGGTTGATGCCTGGACATTCATTCATCATATATCGACGATATCTGTTGATTAAAATGTTTAAAGAGCAAAAGTGAAAAAATGAAAAACAAAATTGTAACTGATAAACAGAGAGAAATGGTTCAATCTTTTTGATCAAATTGAAAAGTCTTCATGCATCAATTATGGTCAGAACAATTTTGGCTTAATTTTTCCACTTTTACTGTTTAAATCAATCAAACAATATTATCTCGAAATATATTGAGCTGATATGAGATACCTCATATCAACTCAATGGAATTGTTTAATTAATTCATATTGATAATGATAAAAATCTTTCAAAATGTCAATTATTACAATACATCAGTATTATTAATAATAACAATGATAGTGATGGATGAAAAATGCTTATAAAATGATCACAAGATGAGAATAGAACTATTAATTGAAACTTGGTTGAAACTGAAACACGTCAAAATAAAATGAAGTTGACTTTGAATCTTGTGCTTCTTACCTTTTGTGTAACTTTGGGTTCTACTCGAACCTTTCTCAATCAATTACCAAAAGATGGTTCCAAAATCCATGCCGTTATAGTCGCTGCTGCAGGTGGAATCGAAAATTATCTACTTCAAGCAAACACATGCCATGCTTATCATATTCTTAGGAGTCGTGGTGTTCCTGCTGAAAATATAATTCATATGATGCCTGATGATATTGCCAATAACCCTGAAAATCCTGTCCCTGGTAAAATTTTCAATGAACCCAATGGTACTGATGTGTATGCTGGATGTGCTAAAGACTATACTGGCGATGAGGTTAATCCAGAAAATTTCATGAAAATTCTGAAAGGAGACAAGGAACTTGCCAAGAAGGGCAAAAAAGTACTAACAGCAGGACCAGAAGATCATGTACTAGTCTACTTCAACGATCATGGGGATACTGGAATAATATGCTTTCCAGAATCAGTATTGACTTCAGATGATCTCAATAAAACCATAACATATATGCATCAACACCAATTGTATGGTAAACTCACTTTCTACTTGGTAACCTGCAATTCTGGTTCAATGTTTGAAAACATTTTGTCTCCCAATATTAACGTATACGGAGTATCATCGGCTAAACCAGATGAGCCAACATACGAAAGTTTTTGTGATGAACCAAATTTCCCTTTCTGTCTTAGTGATCAATTTTCATATGCTTGGTTCAAGGATACTGAACATCATGACCCGACTAAAGAAACACTTGAAACTCAGTATGAAGACCTCGTTAAAAAAGTAGAAGGATCAACTCCACAACAATATGGTGCTAAGGATATAGCAAACGAGGTAATTGGCGAGTTTGAAGGCGATTCTAAATCAAGTCAAGCCTCAAGATTACATGAACCAAAAGTAAATGGACTTGTCAGCAGACGAGATGCTCCTTTACACTATTGGCGTCGTCGATTGAAGATGGCCAAAGACAATGAAGTTGATCAAGTTAGATCTAAACTATCAACCATTGTTGAAGGAAGACGATTCTATGACAGAGCAATTAGAAATGTTATCAATGAACTTTGCAGAGCTGGATTCTGTTCAAATGCTAACGATGTTTTGTCAAAACATTTAAGCCTTTTCAACCATAAAGCATACTCTTTAGTGGCCAAGAAGTTCCATTCAAGTTGCATCAATCTTGGCGTCCATTCATACGCACTCAATTACATGTATGCTTTGGCCAACATTATTGAATTACAAGATGATAAATTTGAATTGCAAAAATTAATGCACAGAATGTCAAGAGCTTGTGCTCATCACATTGGTAATCACGGTTTCGATGCAATTGTCTAATGTAAACTCAAAATTGTATTGATCTTGTTCATGCGATTGCTTTGTTTTTGCAATGATCAATGAATGACTAAACTCAGTTTATTGATGTACCAATAGAAACAATAAATAAATAATTTTGCATAAAACAAAAATATCTTATATTATTTATTGTAAACGAAACAAATAGTTGAATCAAATGAAATTGTATTTCAATGTAAGGTTTCATCAATTGAGTCTTCAATGTATTAATAGTTAGGTTTTCATCGCTGCTAATAGATGGAGATGTGTGTTCAGTAAAGTAACTGAAAGCATTTGAGAAATAAAAAATAAAAAAACTCAGAATTATTTTATCTCAGCAAAAAGAGAATAACCAAATAAAAAGAAGGCAAAATATTCAGTACCATTAAACAGGAAACTCACCTAACACTCACCCGAACCTCGAAAAAAGAAGTTACATAATGTTAAACGGACTCAAATGAATCATTATTGGTTTTAATTCAATTGAAACTCCCAATACTAGCACAATATCTGGTTCACAAAAACGCCTCAAAACCTTATATTTTACCATTCTCTGTTTCAATCATATTAATTTTTCAGGATTTGTTTTTCCAAACCTTTCGTTGTTCGTTGTAACTCCTTTTATACAGTTGTGTATCAAGCATACAAAGTATAAGTTTTTGGAATCGCTCTGCTTTTCGAGTAATTGCATTATCGGTATCTTAACTACTGTAGCAAAATGAAATGAGAATAAACTAATTTGAATTAGTTATGAAAAGTTTAACTAACTTTTTATTTTGAACAGGTGTTCCCAGTCTTTTTCTGGCCAATTCCTCCAAGTCTCTAAGATATTACCTGCAAGTTTTATTATAATGATTGCAAAATTTTCAGTATTAATCTGAATCCAAAGTCAATTTGGAAAGAGCGATTCGTAGGCATTTAAAATCAATGCAATTTCCAACCTGATTTGTATAAATGCCCATCGATGACTGATTCAACGGATTTTGGGTTGAAAATTGCGATTAATTGCAACCTTTACTTCAAAACAAAAAGTTCCAGGGGAAAGACAAAATTATCGTCTCATTGTTTTACTCAATTTTCATTGTTAACTTTATTGTTCATCCCTTGAACGAGCAGATAAAAAAAAGAGAAGAA